CCCCAGGGTCTGTTTAGGACATATGATATTTGTCATTCCTGGTAGATATGCAGATAGAACCATCAGGCAGTCAATTTTATGCACTAATCTAGAATTCCAGCATCAAGGCTGGAGGTATCAGCTTGGCATGTACCTATTTGGAATACAAATAAGATTTAACATCACGGGGTAAACTGAAATTATTTAAGTGGAGTGCAGTTGTGCATAAGACTGATCCCTGGAGAATCCCAACACTTAGAGGTTGAAAAAGGAAGGCACCAGCAAAGGGGACTGAGAAGGAGTCTCTGCGGTATGAGGAAAGCCAATAGAATGTGGCTTTTTGGAAGCCACAAAATATAAAGTATGTCAGGAGGGAAGGAGTGGTCAGCGTACTGAGAAGCATGTTAAATCACAGTGTGACTGCTGGATTCTGCATGCTGGAGGTCATCCGTGTACTCGACAAGAGTAAATTCCAGGATCTGAGGGGATGGAAGCCTGGTTAGAATATACCGAGAAGTTTCTAATTCCACTCCCATCAACAATTCAATCCAGAGGTTTTATTGTAAAGGAAAATAGTAAAATGGGACAACATGTAGGGGTGGCTATGGGTCAACAAAAGTAATTCCAAGAGACTCAATCATGATGTATTTTCATAGGAAGAGAGAGAAGGAAATGGTCAGAAGGAGGAAGGGATACTTACCCGAGGGACCCCATGAGAAGATGAGAGGGGGTGGGATCCAGAGCTGTCTGGGGCCAGCGTGGAGACTCTTCTTCCCACCTAACTAGAGTGAGAAATCAGGAGTTGGGAGACTTGGTGATAGCTGAGTTCACAGGCATTGGTTCTCTCTTCTTAGTGAAGCAAGGAGGTACAGTCATCAGCTGAAAGAAAGTGAGAGTGTAGGAGGGTTGAGGAGCAAAGCAAAATGTGGAGAAAGCAAGTATCACAGTGTTGCCTGGCACACTGATGCTTATTTGAGATACGTAGCCACGAAGTTAATGAGAACAGTCAATATTACAATGCCTTTTCCTCTAACAAAGTTCAAAACAGAAGAATTTGGGGAGCTGGGTTTAACCACTGTTGGGTTTTATTAAGTGAGTACAACTGAAGGAGGTGAGAGAATTAAGGATTCTTGTAAGGAGTGTTAACAGTGAACTATGTATGGGAATTGAGGATATGAGAGTTTTGATGTATATAGAGAAAGTGACAAGGTCAGTCATTAGTGGTCTTCGTGATAGATACGCCATTTTGGAAACTGTATTGGATGGAAGGTCAGGCTGGTCAGGGGTGGGCTATAGTAACAGCAAGGGGCTGATGAAGGAAATGGGAGTAAGGAAATGTTTGGTGTGGGATAGATGAAAAGATTATTGGAGGTAAGTCGAGGAACTGAGAAGCCAAGCTGTTGGATGGAGCATCCATATAGATATTGAAATCAGCAAGAAGGGTAGATATCAAGTGAGAGAGAACTCATCATTGGGTATCTACTCATGATATGTTGATCATTAAAAAAACCCTCCATATATGTTTTAACCAAAGAATCTGCTATTGTGTATGTTGCATTTTGTAAACACCTTTTCATTTATAGATAAGCGTTAACAGGTTCATATTTAAAAATGAGATTGACTTCTTTGCATTTGGACAATGACTAGATGGTATTTCTGAACATGACCGCACGTCAGAATGTCCTAGAAGATTCTGTTTGACTCAGGACAGAGGCGTGGGCCAATCCTCAAAGAGTCTGATGCCTTCAGACTGAACTAGGTCAGAGAATCCACTTTGTTCGAAGCTCCTCAGGTGATTCGAAATCACATCCAGACTTGTTAACCACTAAGTTAAACCATATCATAGACTGCCCTGAAACATTTTAGAATAAGTTGTTTCATATTTAAATTTACTCGAGAAGACTGAAAAGGTGAGGAAGTGATGCTAAAATCCAGAACTAGAAAATGTCAACTCATTCTAGCAGGAATTTTAATAGAGCACATTGGGTTTCTTTTCATATTCCGTCTCCTGGTACGTGAATAAACAATCTTACCATACCATAATTTACCCTGTAGTAAATTAGACGTTAATTTGTCACATTTTGGAGAAACTGTGTGCTTAGAATCTAAGTTGATGCGATTTATTTTTATGTTTAAAAATTCACTCTCTGTTTTATATTTTTCTTCAATTTTCCTCATATTTTTTCTCTGAATTTTGTAGTAAAAAGGCCCCTTTACCACTTTACATCTTTTTGGCATGTTTCCTTAGGAAGCTTCCTCATCTCCTCCCATCCCTGAGGGAACTATGTCTCATTATGTTCTCTGTGTCCTGGTACAGCGACTTACCAAAGCAGATGAATATTTGATGAATAAATGAATACGAGATTTAAGTAAGAAGTATCACATGAAACTATTTATTTCCTCTCCGATCTCTGTACTAGTCTTTAAGTTCCAAGGTAGTTTCTGGGAAAAGTCGCGAACATAATGATGTATGGGTTCAATAAGTAAGAAAATTGCTGCTCAGGGATTTAAAGAAAACTCATAAAATGTCAAATCCACAGCAATTCATTTCTCTCAGCAAGTCCTCGTGAATTCAGGCCAAGAAATCTTTATACTGATCTTGCCACACCCAGCTCTCTTCCTTCCTGGACAGGGCTCCTCTGGGCCCCTTTTCACCAGGCAAACACTAACGTCCACTGGAGGCTGATCTCAAAGATGCGGAAAGGGTCTAACACCTGGTTTATCTCTAGCTTTAAGTTGCAGAGAGTGTTCCACGGTGTGCCCTAGCACTCGGTGTATCCTGTTAGGGTCAGCCTTCTTGAGTGCACTAGAATTTCGCCAGATGTCCTTTACTTATTCATTCACTTACCACCAGGGTCTGTGAACCCGTGAGATGGAATATGATGTTAACCAAAAAACCATGCTTGACATAAAGTTCATGAACCAGTTGGAAAAGAATGAATGTGTGTAATAAATGTTATGATGGAAGAAGTGGGCCATGGGGTCAGAATACATAAGAGATGTGTTTGACCCAGAATTGTAAAATCAGGGAAGGCTTCCTGTAGGACGTGGCTTCTGAGCTAGGAGGTTAGGGATGAATGTGCTTTGTCTGCAGTGGGAAGGGGACTCTAATTCAGGCAAAGCAGCAGCAGGTGTGGAGGGGAGGAGGGGAGGAGATGTAGGGAACACTTGGAGGACTCCATGAGCTTCTATGTGGCTGGAGCACAGGGGCCAGGCTATGAAAGGGCGTAAAACACCATCTGAGTGAGTTTGCACTTGATAATTTTTGAAGTAATGGGATCCATCAAAGGGTTTGGGGTGAGGTCTGCAACCCGAGAGAGTTTAGCAACAGAAACGTGCAATTTGAAAACCCCCGTATATTATTACCTTTTCAGCAAATCGAAACTGCATCAGAGAAAAATTCGCCAGAGATACAAATGATTACTGTATGAATTCAGGATAGATTTTAACAACCTAACAAACTAAATGAGAATATATTCAAAATTAATCCATGTACCTGTATGTTGGGTGTGGCATATGCTTATTAATAGTTCTGTTTGTAGGTAAGGGACTTGTTGATATTTTCAGGCAAAGATAATGCTGACAGTCTCAGTCTGTCAAAGACTAAGGTCACTTTATTCTCGCAATAAGAAAGCCGCTTGACCAGGCTGAAAATGTGTTCCCAGAACCTGTTTCAGAATTTCTTCCCTAATGGCTTCTGTGAAGTTAAGCTGAAGGGCTTTAATGGTACATTAGAAAAGGGCAGTAAAAGTCTGGGAGTGGAGGGTTGTTATAAACCACAATGCTGTTCTCCGATGCAAGAGTACCGTTACCATGATATTCATCTCGTAAGGACTTTGGAAACTCTACTGGTCATCCCTCTAAGTATTCACCATCAAACCACTCCGTTCATTGGAAGACACTGGGTTTTGTTCTCTCCTGCAAACTTGTTTTTTGTTTCTGTTTTTCTTTTTTTTAATTTTACTATTTTTATTTTTTCAATTATTTTAAAATCAAAATGATATATAATTAAGGTGTCCAACATGATGTTTTGATGTACATATACATAGTGAAATGATTACTACTGTCAAGAAAATTAACATTTCCATCTCCTCACATAGTTACTATTTTTCCTTTGTGATAAGAGCACCTGAAATCCCTCTTAGCAAATTTCAAATACACAATTTTGTATTATTAACTATAGTCATCATGCTGTACCACACAGTGTGGAAGACTGCTCCAAATCCTTTAATTTACTACTCTAGGAAGAATAATTATTAACTAACTAGAGGCATTGGAACATCATCCTAAAAAAAAAACTTATAGCCAGGCTTAGTTGTACATGTGCCTGTAGTGCCAGCTACTCGGGAGGCTGAGGTGGGAAGATTGCTTGAGTCCAGCAGATCAAGGCTGTTGTGTGCCATGACCACACCTGTGAATAGCCACTGCTTTCCAGCCTGGGCAACATAGCAAGACCCCATCTTAAAAAAAAAAAAAAACCCTCTAACCTCTGCAAGCTTATATAACCATATTATAGACCATAGTTTCCCCATTTTATAGGGTCTTTAAGTTCACATCATTTGTGTGACTCTGGAGGTACACAGGAAAATGATGATTAAGACTACTAATGCTACCTTATGGCAATTTAAACCCTTCATATGATCCTATGCACCAATATTTCCATGCTGAGATACAACATGCTGTAGAAATTAAGAGTCTGAGCTTTCGAGTGAGAAATCTGGGTTCAGAGCCCAGTTCTTCCATTTACTAGTTCTGTGACCTTGGGTTAAGCCTCAGTTTTCTGATTTAGAAATTGGGGATCACTTCTTGGCCTTTTGGCTACAACCAAGTGTAGAAATGGGGGATGTTCATGTCACTGTCTCATAGATTCACTGTGAGAATCGAATGAAGCTGTGAGCGTTGAGGGGCTAGTGGATTATTTCAACCCTAGTTAGCTTTCTTGAACATTATTTCCTTTACCCTTTAGTTCTGTTTGTTTGTTTTACTATGAGCAACTTTCTCCTTTCTCTCTACTCTCCTAGGGATATAAAACCTGACAACATTTTACTTGACGAACATGGTAAGTAAATGACTTATTTGTAATCAAGTACAAGACCTGCACGTAGAGCAAGTTGATTATCCTCAGCAGAGGAGTGTTACACATGAAAAAGATGTCTTGCTTAAGCTTATTTTATGGGGAGGAGGGACAGTATGGGGAACTTTATTATTTATGGCAATGGCATAGTGCAACAATACACCCTTAAATAGCATTGAATTTGCCTCATGAGAAAAATCATTCCCTACTCAATTTTCTTCTACTACTTTTCTTCAAGAAAACCATCACGGCTTTTTTGGTGCTAGTTTACCTTAATATCACATAATCACCTTTTTTTTTTTCTTTTTCATAAAGACAGAGCAGGCTTCAAGCTTAGAGCATTTGACTGGAAATAGCACTCACCTAGAAGTTATTTTGTTCTCATTGCATCTATTATACTTTTATGATTTCCCTCTTGTAAAGGCAAATTGGTTTTGGATTTGCAGAAGAGATATCAAGTTTTCTGTTCGAAAAGTTTTCAGCGAAAAAAATCAGTCAGTCTAAAGAAAAATGTAAAGTAGATAAAAGTATATGTGGTACCCAGATACGAAAGTGATACAAGGACATGGCAATACTCATGAAGGTGGTAAGTGAATGCCAAAAGTTCAAGAAACAGTGATTAAAGATTTCCTCGGGGACAAGTTTTTGCCAGCAGTGATTAAACATGTATGATTTCTTCCTAGTATTTATTTTCATGTACATTTGAAATTCTGGTACATCAAGGCAGACCTGTTATAAATGTTAACAGTGCAGTAAGATCTTTGTTATATATTTTAAAAAGTGCTGGGTGAGAGAACACTAAATCTGCAAATCTCTTTATTCATTTGGTGTTTACAAAAAGGATTTGCAAGTGGAACTGAAACTGCAAGGACCATCCCTTGCCCATTATTTATTTTCCTAACTGAGTTTTGAACATGATTTGCCAGATTCCACCTGTGCTCAGAGAAGGCTAAGAAACATTTTTATGTGTGACCTCTAATTTCAAAGCTCAGGCTCATTACTTATTTATCGACTGTCCAAAAAGATTTTTTCCACTTTCTTCCAATGCCTTATTTCTTCCTTACCTTTACTGCTTCTGACATTTGGAAACAGATTCTCTCCATCTCAGGAATGTGAGCAATGGTGAGACTTAGCATGAAGGTGACTTTCATTAAAACACCAGCTATACAGAGCTGGGCATGGTGGCTCGTGCCTGTAGTCCCAGCTACTCAGAAGGGTGAGGCAGGAGAATCACGTGAGCCCAGGAGTTTGCGGCTGCAGTGACCTGTGGTCCTGCCACTGCACTCCAGCCTGGCCAAGGAAGTGAAAACAATAACAATAACAACAACAACAACAAAATCCAGTTGCAATCTTCTAGCCTATAGAGGCCACCTTTGTGCAACTTAGGAAAAAGTGTACCCTCTGCCCAGCACAGCTTTCTGATAGCACATGGCTGGCTGGGGTTCAGTCCTCACTTGCCTTCTCAGCCTGGTGCCTTTGTGCATGACACTTGCTGCTCCACCGTTTGTAGAAGCATATAGGTCTTGTCAATCCAGAACTTTTCAAGATTCATTTTCCATCCAGAGAACATTGTTTTAATCTCAAGTTTCAGCCATAGCTTCACCTTATTTCTAACACAAGGACTTCCTGCTCTTCTTCATTCAACTTCTTCCTCCTCGTTTTCTTGGTGTCGTGGCGATTGTATGTTAGGGAAAACTTTGTGCAATGACATTTTGAAAACGGAATTAATCATACCAATGTAAATAATACATAAAAGATAAATAATCAACCCTCTTTCAACCAAATTTAACAAATATGTAATGAGTACTCACTAGAGTCACATGTTCTACTAAGCCAGGTCTTATTTTAAAATAGTGATCTCAAACTTTATTGGGCAGCGGGATTACCTGGAGGCCTTGTTTAAACACTAGGGACTCAACTCCAGGATTCCTGAGCCTCTAAGTCTGGGATGTGGCCCAAGAATCTGCATTTCTAACAAGTTCCCAGGTGGTATTGAAGCCGCTGGTCTGGGGACCACACAGGAAACGAAACATCCTCTACCTTCCCCTTCTCCATGAGCACAGGTGGTCTTAGGCCTGAGCCAGCTGAGAAGGTCAACTCCAGCCACGGTAGAAACTGACGTGCCTGCTGCTCACCTGAATCACCCGTGGAGCTGGTTGTTCTTTGCAATACAGACACCAGTCCTACTGAATTGGAGTCTCAGGAGGGTGAACCCCATGCATGTGTATTTTCAGAACTGCACTGGAGTTTCTGATAATGAAAAATATCAATGATTGAACACTTACTCCCTGCCAAATGCTGTGCCAAGTCACCCATAATCATTATTTCATTTAATCCCCCCCCCAATAACCTATGAGAAGGCTGCTATTATGATTCCAGCTTTGCAGAGAGGATAAGTTAATTTTTTTTCAAGGTAACATGAGTATTAGTAGTAGAAGCTGGACTTGAAGCCAGGCAGCCTGACTCCAGGGAACAGGCTGATAACCACAGAGACCCCAGGCTCACTTTGTTTGTATTAAACCTTGGGTATGAAACCTAGTCCAATGCTTGACCCACGGAGAGAAAGAACCCAGGCTCACTTTGTTTGTATTAAACCTTGGGTATGAAACCTAGTCCAATGCTTTGAGCATGACCCACAGAGAGAAAGAAAGAAAGAGAACACGGAGACAGCCTATACTATGATAGGGTAAGTTTTGAAACCATCTATTGGGCCATTCAGGCAAGAATACCTTCACTTTTAACTAGATGAGTGCTATTTTACTTTGTTAAAATATCATCACATAAGCAAAAACAAAACACTTTCTGCACAAAATAAAATCCTGGTGGTGACGAGGGTGAGATCCATCTTCAGCGGCAGGCTGGGTGCTCCCGGGAGCGGGCCGTGAAGTTTGGTTGGAAGAGTGTAGACTACAGCTGCAGAAGAATCAGATGGCATGCCCTCCAGTCACAGCCATACCGCATCGAAACCACAGGTGCCTGCAAATGGAAATGCCAACACTTCAAGATCCTTTGAAGGCAGACGACTGTCACGCCAATAGCTAATGCGAGAGGCTCATCTGCTTGAGCCGCTGGCACTGCCCTTTCCTTCCTTCTAGCTGAAAATCCAAGGACCCTAGAGCACTTCCTAGAATGTCTTCCCTACCAGACACTGGAGTTAGACCCGCACTGTGTGGCCATGAGTGTCAGAGCTGAGAGAGACCCTAGGGATTATTTTAGTCCCCCCACTCCTTTTTTTTTTTTTTTGAGTCAGAGTCTCACTCTGTTGCCCAGGCTAGAGTGCCGTGGCGTCAGCCTAGCTCACAGCAACCTCAAACTCCTGGGCTCAAGCAATCCTCCTGCCTCAGCCTCCGAGTAGCTGGAACTATAGGCATGCACCACCACATCCCGGCTAATTTTTCCTATATATATATTTTTTTAGTTGACCAATTAATTTCTTTCTATTTTTAGTAGAGACAGGGTCTTGCTCTTGCTCAGGCTGGTTTTGAACTCCTGACCTCGAGCGATCCGCCTGCCTCGGCCTCCCAGAGTGCTAGGATCATAGGCGTGAGCCACCGAGCCCAGCCTCCCACCCTTTTTTTTTATAAAGGATCATTTAGATCTACCTTGGAAGGGGGTGTAGTCTACTGTGTGTTAGGGCAGAGTTCAGGGCAGAACCCAGGCCTCCTGGCTCTCACTCTAGTGCTTTATATTATTAGAAACTCTTTACCAGTTATTTTTTTGGGGGGGGTCAGTGGGGCCAATCTGAACTCTCAGACAAAAAAAAAATTAATGGTATTTCAGAAAAATGAGGATAAAAAGGACTCTTTCTTGGCAACAAAATTAATACTTGTATCCACACTCATGCCAGGTTCATAGTAATCATGTTTGCCTCTTCAAAAAAATCCCATAAGAAATGCTTGGAAATTTGGTGCTTTGAATATGTCTTGGCTGTCTCTCTCACGATACCTGCAGGCTAAACCAAATTAAAATGTTGCCAATAGACAAAAACTGCTTAAATAAAATTATCAGACCATAAACTCTTAATCACTAAGGTTCACACTTTCTGAGGTTCAGTTACAAGTTGACAATCAGAGATTCATTGTTGCATCTCATGTTCTGCTGCTGGTTTTTATCGCCTATACCCAATTGCAACTAGCACACAGGCATTAACATACGAATCTTCCAGGTGCTTTCGATTGGAAGCGTGGCTGTGCTGCTGGGTTGCATGGGGACGTCATGCTCTCTGTGGTCCTTCTCTCTCCCCAGGGCACGTGCACCTCACAGACTTCAACATCGCTGCGCTGCTGCCCAGGGAGACGCGGATCACCACCGTGGCTGGCACCAAGCCTTACATGGGTACGGGCTCCGCATGAGTGGCTGCAGTTACTCAGAGCAGAGCGTTTGCTTTTCTTTTCTGTAAACACCATTTACAATAGGTTGAGTCATCTGTAGGGACTTGAAGCTAGGGCCGACGATTTCCTTTCTGACCTTACTTGGGGAGCTTCTGATTTCCTGGTTCTCAGGATTCTGCACTTAGCAAGAAGCTAAGATGATCTTGATTGCAGAGGGCCATTGGTCACATTTTGAAAACATTAGTTCATGAGGTAATTAAGACAGTTTCTACTCACTTCCTAACAACAGCAAAAAAAAGAATACTAATTAATTCAATAACTATCTATCTACTGTCTCTGTATGTCTGGCACTGTTTTAGACTCTGGTGACCCAGTAGTGAATAACACAGACAAAGTCTCCAGCTCAGGGGCTTACATTCTAACGAGAGCAGATTAAAAAAAAAATGAACGAAATAAAGAAGAAACAGTAATAAAGAGGATGCTGCTAAGTGACAAAAGCATGATTTTGACCATTACTTACATAATACCACATTATATGCATAGGGCTGTAAAGTTCACAAAATGCCTTCCTGGCTATAGTTTTAGTTTTAGCTTTAGGGCCACAACAATCCCATGAGTTCTTCTTTTGAAAGACGAGGACATTCTGCCTGAGAAAGGTTAAATGACTTTGCCTAATCTTGCTTATAGTGAGATGAGGAACTGATTTTTGCCCTGATGATTCAGAATTTACCAAGGAGTTACTAACAGGGGAAGTTTAGATGCGGAACTGTCAGTTGGTCTCATTTAACTGTGGTAACAAATCAACTACAAATTCGAAGTTCAGTCATTGGGAGACTCCGTCTCTGTATCGACACTGGTTTGGCATAACTAGTTCTACTTTCTGGTCACGCCCAGACATATAAACGGAGAGCTGTTGCCCTAAGCGGGCGTACAGCTTTCAGGAAGAGGGAATCCTTCTTCCCTTCCCCCTGTGGTTCCTAAGGCAGGTGAGTCGGATCTCAGGAGCATTATCTGCAAATCCTTGGGGTGTGAGGAGAGTGCATGGCGTTTTGTTCTTGGATAGATGTCCTTTAGTCACCGGACTTGCTAACTGGTGCTAGAGCTAACGCAGTCCGGTTAGCCATGGGAGGTTGCTAAATTTGGGAGCTAATCTTCCCGGGATCACAGCGGCAGGCGACAGAGGGATGGCAGTGAGTGTGTTTGGGGAGTGTGGGGGTGGAACAGCCAAAGGATGTGGTCCGGCTCCACAGGGGCCCCTGCGGTGCCCAGGGATGTAGCCGGGAAGGGAGGGGGGCTCCTGTCGTCATGGTTTCCACCGTGACCTGGAGACGCCCAGCCCCAATAGAGCACAAGGATAGCAGAATCTCAGAGGGTGGATCCCAGGCATAGGGTGGTTTAAAAGTTCTTCAGGTAATTCTGCCATGCAGCTAGGATTGACAACTTCTCCCGCAGACCGTGAGCTGTGTGTACCAGCTGTTAGAAGCACCGAAAGAGAGATCAACCTGCAGCAGAGGTAGCACGTGTGTTAGGATCCCTCTGCCTCCACTGCCCTCCTTTCACGCCCTAAAAGCAGTAGTACTTTCCAGGAAAATGCAGAAGGAAGTGTGTGAGAGCCAGATCAGTCCTCCATCTGCACGCCAAGGGGACGGGTGGAGGCGTTTCGAATCAGATACGAGAGTAGTTTTAAAATGCACGAGACCGAATTTTAAAGTATCTAAAGGAAATGTTGTAATAAGCAAACAGGATTAAAATATATTAGGCAACAGACTGTACTATCATTAGGGAAGGCCCCTATCCACAAAAACAGGAGGTTCGACACCCCAAGGTTGCTGGGAGATGATAGAAGACTGAAAACTACTCAGGCTTCTTCTCCCCTAATTAGTTAAGGTGCTTAAAGCAGCTAATGTCGCTGTTGAAACTGGCGGGATTAAGTCAGGGGTGCAATGAATTATATCAGCTAGATGTGGTCAGAGTAATTCATAGGCAAAACATTTGAACTTGGAAAGGGTGAGAGCAATGTCGCTTTCTTTTAATATTTCATTCTCTTCCCCCATGGAACTCGAGAGAGAGAAAGGGAAAAAAAACCCCTACCTGCAGAGCCACCTCACTTTCCAACAGAAAGAAATCATCTATGGGGAAAAAAATGAACCTGATTTTATATGATATTTGAACAACTGCAAATTTCATGGCTTCCAATTACCAGTGGGAGGAATAAATCTCTTTTGTCACTTCCAAAATAATGGACACATATAATTCAGCCTATTTTCTACCTAAAATCCATGGTACTCAAATGATAAAAAGGAGTATTCAAGCCCTGCTGCTCTGATGAGTTTATTCCCCAGGTTTCCTGGGTTTCCATATTAAGGGCTATTTTCTTGGAGCCAAATCAGAAAATGTGCATCTGGGTTCCTAGGGCTGGTTTCCATGGTGAAAAGAAACACAAGGAGGCCACCTTTCTTTCCTCTCCCCAGTGATTTTAAGTACAATATCTGTATGATGTAATTTTTGTGAAGTTGGCATTTCTAGTCTTTTAACAAGATAGAACTAGGAAATCAGAATCTAGGCACAATTCTGTGCACCTCCTACTTCATTCACCCTTATAATTAAAAATAACTAATATTTATTGAAATCTTTTGGTGGCCCAGACAATGTGTTAAGTGTTTTACATTTATTTACTCATTTATTTTTCTCAACAGCCCCATGAGGCAGACTGTACTTATCACCATTTTACAATGAGGAAAATCAGGAGCTGAATAACTTGCCCAGCATCACACGGCTAATAATTGAAAAGCCTAGATTTAAGCCACACTCTGTCTTCAGAAATCAAGCTTCTCCTTAAAATAAAGATGCAGAGAGACATTTAAAAATATATATGTAAATATTTTTACTTATGGTTTTTAAATGGTTCTAAGTCAATTTAGTTAGGCCAACGTGTTGGAAATGTTTCTTGTCTTATTCCAAAATGAGTGTCTATCTGATTGTTGTAGGAATCTCTATGCCCAGAAGCTGCCCTTGCCTTTGATTTTTGGAAAGTAATCTTTCCAAGAGGTATTGTGGGTACTAGTCTGCTTTCTCTTCTATAAAAATATAATAAAATAAAATACAGTACAATATGACAGAATATACAACTTTTATAGAGTCATGTTTATTCTGTTAGGCATTTTCTTGGCACAATAGGTCCAGTTGTCCCTCAAAGTTCTCTGCAGCTTCTCCAAGAGCGATGTCAGCTGTTTGTCACCTGTCACCTGGGGTGGGGGTGAGGGGACTATCTGAGATGTCTTGCTGTGAGATACTGGGAAGGAGAAGCAGAAATCTAGTCCGTTCCATCCAGTCTGTTGGAGTAGCGTGGGGTCAAGGCCATTAGTTCTCAGATTGCACTGGGAGCTGTGATAGCAGATAGGATGCAGTGACGCATGAAAGGGGAATGCACTTGGGAATGAGGCCTACTTAGTCCTGCTACCTCGCGCTCTTAGGGTCAGAGTCAGTCCTGGGCATTAGGATGTCAGGACTCTGCCTCACTAATTGGATGTTGTACGCAGGATTTCACTTAGAAAGAACGTGAGTGCACAGGGCAGGGCCAGCCTGTGTGTGCAGGTTCCATGTCATTCCCGTTTCTTTGCCCAGGGCCAGCACCTTACTACAGGAGACTTGGCATCAGCCCTGTGTACCCTTAGACTAACTAGGTCAGTTCCCCCAGTATTATGAATGTTTGCCTCTCTGGAGGAGTGCCTGATGCTTTCGAGCACTTTCTAAGAGCCAGGCACTGTGCTGACATTTCGACAGGATTATCTCATTTATTTTTGAACCCTATAAAGATCGCCTTCTTAGTATCCTGCTTTTGCCCTGATTCTCAGGCTCTGCCAGCTAACTTGCTCGAGGTCACAGTAAGTGGTGAAGGTAGAATTTGAACTCAGACAGCACAGCTGCAGAGCTAATGGCCGCACCTATTGGTTGAGTAATTGATTTGTTTGTTCATTCATTCAACAAATCTCTGTCCAGTGACTCTGAGTGCTGGGTTCTGTCCTAGTCACTAGGACGTAGTGGCGAGAAAGCAGACAAGACACCTGCCCTTGCTTTGTGCTTCATCCTCTCCCTATTCCACCCCTCAGGAGTTAGATATATTCTTGGAAGGGTATGAGAAAGTTTCGTGGTATGTCAAAGCGCTTAGAATACGTAACTTGGGGGGCGTCTCTGGGGGCAAAATTGAGTGTAGCTCTGCCCTCCCTTGGAATCAGTTGGAAGAACTATGGTCACAAAGTACAAATGACCCACAGGATTGTAAAGCCTTATATTTGCCAGTGTGGCCACTCCCTCTTTTCTCCCTCCCTCCCCCCCAAGGTTGCCCTTGTTGCCTCCAGGTGACTCCAAGACGGAGCGTATATCCAGTGTACGTTGCGCCAAATTCTGAGCGTTGTTTGCAACTGGAATACAAATTTAGATCCTTTAGTGCAAACCTTCCAAAGCAAGACAAATAACCTCTTCTCAGCCTTCTTGAATTCAGGGTCAGCTGCCTATTGGAGGTCTGGTAGGGCCTGATTTTAACAGGTACGTGGTCTAAATAGGAGAAGAGGTTACCCATGAAGGCTTGTGCGTGCCTGTGTGTATTGGTTGATGGATGAGGCTACCGAGAGATATTAGAAAATTAGAAATTCTTGCCTGCTGTGAGCCGGCTACTCATGGATGACAAACATCCGTAAAAGTGTTTATACCCTTTATCCTGGTAATTCTCTAAAGGAACATGTTGGACAAACAAATTTGTTCATGTCTCAGGTAATAACACTGGCCTACCTCTTCTGTGGTTTTCAGCACCTGAGATGTTCAACTCCAGAAAAGAAGCGGGCTATTCCTTTGCCGTGGACTGGTGGTCCCTGGGAGTGACAGCGTATGAGCTGTTGAGAGGCCGGGTACAGCAGAGTCGCATTTTCTCTTTGGTTATTCTTCCAGCAGGTTCTATTTTAGACTGAAAGAATGTATGTGTGGTTTGCTAAGAACCAACCAGTTTATTTGAAAGCTGAAAACAGGTATGCCACGTGACGCCGATAACACCCCTTGAGATTTCCGCACAGATTAACTCGCTGCCATCCTACATATGGGACCAACCGCATCAGTTAATATTAAATTACACAGATAAAATTAAGTGAATAATACGGATACTATAAATTTCCAAGGAGGAGAAAATCAATACACCTCACTAAATAGCTTATGTAAATATATGTGTTTGTTTTTTTTTTTTTTTTAAAGTCATTTTGAGGTCACAGTATAGGACTCTACTTCAGATGCACCTCACCAAGGAAAGTGTAAATTATGAATCCAACATAATTCATGTCCTGTCTTGTTGGATTTCTATTGATCCTTTGGCTTTTGGGTTCTGGGTTCGGTGGCAAATTAGAGCAGTTTCCTTTTAAGGGAAACAGTTCTTAAATTAAGAAGCTCTTTTCTAGAAAAAAGAGATTTAAAAGACCAAATATGCTGAAACATATTTTATGCATTTTTTGGCAAGCTGTTGCATAATGTAAATGTGCCCATAAGGTTGTGTCTCAGTCAGCTGTCTACCATAACAAGATACTACAGGCTGGGTGGCTCAAGCAAGAGACATTTATTTTCTCACAATTTTGGAGGCTGGAAGTCCAAGATCAGGGTGCCAGAATGGTGGGGTTCTGGTGAGGGCTCTCTTCTTGGTTTGCAGTCAGTGGCTTTTTTGGTGTGTTTGTACAGGGCAGAGAGGGAGAGAAAGAGAAAGAGAGAGAATATTTTCCTCTTTTTATAAGACTACTACTAATCCCGTCACGAGGGATCTACCCCCATAACCTACTCGTACCCTAATTACCTGGCAAAGGTTCCAACTCTAAATACCATCACATTGAGGGCTAAGGCTTCAACATATGAATTTTGGATGAGACACATTCAGTCTCTAACATTCCGCCTTTGCCCCCCACTTCAAATTCATGTCCTTCTCACATGCAACATGCGTTCATTTTATTCCAACAGCCCCAGATAAGTTAATAAGCTTAACTTATTCTAGCATCTAGAGTCTAAGGTCCACAGTCCCATCTCAACATCATCTGCACTGGGTACGGGTGAGACTGGAGGTATGATTCATCCTGAGGCAAACTTTCTCTCCAGCTGTGAACCTGTAAAACCAGCAAACTTCCAAAATGCAACGGTGGCATAGGCAGAGGAAAGGCAATCCCATTCTGAAAGGGAGAACGGGTATCGGGTCCCAAATTAGGTCCAAAACATAGAAATACTATTTGTTTCACTGGTCTGCTCTCCAGGTCTACGTGGGTGTGGCAGCATCATTCCCATGGCTGGGGTGGGGGGAGGGGACTCACTTAATGGCTCTCCGCAGCACAGGGACCCTGCCCACATGGCTCTCTGCCAGGGCTCTGTCCACACAGCCCTGTTGGGTGGTGGTTGTGCCCTTTGGAACTGAGGTGGAGGCAGCCTTGTCCCCCAGGCCAGTGGGCTCTGGACCTGCGATGGGCGTGGCAGCCCTGATGATCTGAATCACCCTCAGGACCCTTCTTCCTTTCTGGTGAAGGTTGAGTAACATCGTGGTCCTGTCTGTAACACCCGAGAGGTCTGACAGCCTTTCTTCTTTCCATCTCGCCTTCTCTGTCTTCTTTAATTCAAACTGGCAGTACCTCTGCTGCCGTCTCCCATCTTTATTTTTGGCTTCTGTTGAAATGGCTGATTAAGTTCATGAGTCACACCTGGGAGCTCTTTATCAATTAGTTGTTGATGAACTACACCCTAAAGTTCCTCTTCAGAACAAGCTTTCTCATTTTTTGCACTATGGATGGAAATCTTCGATTTCTAGATCCTTTTTGCCTAACAGTTTCTTCTTCAGTTCATCTCTCTCCTTTCATATTTTACTATAAGCGGGCAGGAGGAACAAGCCACTCCTTCAGTGTTTTGCTTAGAAATCTCCGCAGCTAAATGTCTAATTTCATCACCCACAAGTTCTGCCTTCCACAAAACACTAGAACACAGTTCAGACAAGTTCTTTGCCACTTTGTAACAAGTATTGCCTCTCCTCCAAGTTCCAATAACATGTGCCTCATTTCTGTCTGAAACTTCACCAGCAGAATCACGTTGGGTATCTGTGTTTCTAGCATGTACCTCAAAACTCTTCCAGCCTCCACCAAATTACCAGTTCCAAAGTTGCCTCCACGTTTTTAGGTGTTTGTTACAGCAGCACCCTACTTCTCAGTACCAAAATCTTAATCAGCTAGAGCTGCCTCAACAAAATACCATGGATGGGGTCGCCTGAACTGCAGACTCATGGTTGGATTCTGGTGACAGCTCTCTTCCTGGCTTGCAAGAGGCTTCCTTCTCACCATGTCCTCATGTGATGGAGAGAGGGACGTCTCTCTCTCTCTCTCTTCTTCTTGGGAGGCCACTAATTCCATCATGAGAGCCCCACCCTCATGTTCTGATCTAATCCAAATTGCCTCCCAAAGACTTCATCTCTAAATATCATCACACTGAGGTATAGTTCACATAAAAGACGTGAAATCCCAGTGTTGGTTAAGTCCCCTACAAAATAAATTAAGATCAATAAAGGCTGCCCTCTAGTGGAAAGCTGTGAAAACTACAACAAATCTGCAGTTCTCTTTGTTCAATTTTGTTCCCTCCCCAGCCACCCCCAGTTAAAACTGTAGAAGAATCTGTCTGGTTCTTCCAGAAATTTTTGCTTTTGAAAAAAAGCCTTTGCTTCATCATAAAATTCTCCACACATGGAAACAGGAGTTTCCTCACATTTGAGGCCCAGGGTGATATTTTCTGAGCAGCTTTCTGTCTTGAGCTTCCTCATTATGTTGCAAACTAGTGAAAAAGAGAAAAACTAGTAAAACCTTTGATTTCTTTATAATCAGCCCTTACATAATGATGTGTAAACTTCCATTTATTAAACTCTTGTCCAGTATTTTATGCAAATACTTATTACAAGGTGCCTTATAAAACAGTTTCATATCAGCATCTCAGAGGCCGATTCAGCCCACTGAAATGTTTTGATCGGCTCAGTGGAATCACCAACTTTTAAAAAATTATGATCTTTTACAAGAAACGATAGGTTTCTGGCATCTCTTTTTTAAGAAGCAGGAGGTCTGGCAATACAGGACCACCCACGTACGGCAACACAACAATCAGCTGGATGGCGTTAGAAATTGATATTGATATGTTATTGGTTAAAAGTTTCACCTAGAAACATTTGCAAAACAAATTTTCTTTTCTTTTGCCCTATAAAAATGAAGACCCTTACTTCTCCTTCTCTCCCTTAAGAGACCATATCATATTCGCTCCAGTACTTCCAGCAAGGAAATCGTACACATGTTCGAGACGGCTATTGTGACTTACCCTTCTGCCTGGTCACAGGAAATGGTGTCATTTCTTAAAAAGGTAAGAAGACTGCATGTCAAAAGGAAGTGATAAGAGGAAGCATGCTGTCTGGTTTACAGTTAGAAATTAGTGTACAGTATTGGGGGCAGCCATGATGGTATACATTGCTACAGTGGTTTTTGCAGGTAATCACTTTCAAATGCATGGCTTCATTAAATCAACTCACAAGTCCCCTTAGATATCTCAAAGCCATCTAAAACTCAATGTGTCCAAAGTAGAATTCTTAATCTTTCTATATTTCCTGAATTTCTTCTGACATTCCCTCTTTGAGTGACTGCCTCCTCCATCCATCCATTTCTGCAACCCAGAAGCCAGGACTCATTTAGCATCTCCATATCCAATCCATCACCAAGTTCTGGAATTTCACATTTTAAATATCCTCTAAATCTTTCACTTCTCTCCATCTTCACTACTGTCTCCCCAACTCAACTGCCATCTGTTTGGCCTTATAACTGGTTTATTCCATACACTTTTACCACTCAATTCTGTTTCCCACTCTGCCCCATAGTGATCTGTTCAAAGGGCAGTTCAGTGCCTTCCCATTGTTCTTAGAATAAAGATTAGAATAATTTGTATGGTACAAAGGTTCTAACTACCTCTCAAGCCTTATTTTGGACTTTGGTCCCTCTTTTGACTACACATAAACCTCTTTGGCCTTCTTTTTCTTCTTCTCCTTCTTTTCCCCTTCTTTTCCTACACACACCAGTCTCCCTCTCACCACAGGACCTTTGTACATGCTAGTTCCTCTTCCTGGAGTATTGCCTCCACGCCTAGCTCCTCCAGCTTCCTCCTTGAGATCAGTACTGTTCAGCATGATTCGCTGACTTGTTCTAGTCTATGAATTGTTTCCTGCAGATCCATTACAAGTACAGAAAGAGAACAGCATTTAGAAACATTTGTAGTAATTTGACACTGCTGTCGCATCTAAGCACATGGTCAATGGACTGGTCTCATTGAATAGGGTATAAGCTTGTTTGGGTGATGTTGAACTCAAGTCACAAGTTGTACATGGTGAGGGGCTGCATGCTGGCCATGCACAATGACACTGCATATTGGTTTCAGTGGATTGGAAGTTAAAACAAATAAACAAAACCAAGCAAAAGGAACTGCCCCTTCTACAGAGCTTGAGAAGCACAGCTTTAGATCTTAGCTCAAATATCATCACCTCTCGGGAAGCCTCGCCTTGTTGTTAGCTCACGTAACACCCTCTTTCCTTCATAGCATTTTCACAGCTTAAAATTATACACAGCATTTGTGTGATGCTTGGGTTACTAATTATTCTCGTCTAAGCTGCATGAGAGTAGGGACCATGTCTGACTTGTGAGCGATGGTATTGCCAGCACGTAACACAGAGCCTCATAGGTGGTGAAATGTGGTAAGCATTGAAGAAATGAGGTCCATAGCTTTCATTAGATTTTCAAGGTGCCTATGTTCACCAAAAAAGGTTAAAAACAATTACAGGAGGACATCAATAGTGTATGTCGAGTGATTATACAAAAAAAGAATGAGGGGCCCCAAGAGGATAGGCTTGGCTTTTTTGGGGCAGGAGGCAGAGAAAATTGCACCAGTTGTGGTTGATAAAGGAAAAAGAACTTTAGGGGCTAAGAGTTTAAAATTTGTGTCTTTTGTCTTTGGGGTTAAGTCCCCTGTTTTGGAATAGGGACATCGTTATCAGTAATGTCAAAGATGTCAAATAGGGAGGTCATTTTCCATAAGCAAATTTTGCTTCATTCCAAGACAGCCCCGCTTAACCTCAAAACTACACCCTGATGTCCCATGGTTGTCACCTCCAGGAACACGCTCCAGTGGGACTGACATTTCCCGTTTGATCCACATGATGGATATGGTGTTGGCCCTGGCATGGTTAAGAGGGGAAAAATCTTTTATCCCCATTAGTAAAACCCAGAACTGTAACAATAACCTTAGTTATACCTTAACATGGGCCACCCCTCATATATTTCCATTAGTTGTAAAAACAGCTAAAATTTTTAGTGGGAAATGAGTTTCATTTGTGAAAATGTATTAATATTTGCCACCAGCAGGCTTTTCTTTAGGCACTTTAAATAAATGGCTTATTTAATCCTGGTTTCAACCTTATATAATAAGGTTATTATCCTTTTTTTTTTTTACAGATGGGTAAACTGAGGTTTAGAGAACAAACTTACTCATAGTTTGTAACTAGGGGAGTCAAGGATCGAAGATATGTTTGAATCAGTAGGACAAGCTATTTTTACCCACCACATTGCAAAACTCTACTTACTGTTCATTCTAATCATGCATTGTTTACATTATTTGTTAAAGGGGTTAAAGAAGGGGGGAGCACTGCCTTGTGTCTTTCAGTCCCATACTTGAAAACGTTTAGAGGACATTTTTATGATTTTTTTTTTTTTTGTCATCCTAAGTTTTGACCTTTCTCATGATCTTGATGTTTGTATTCCATTGGCAGCTACTCGAACCTAATCCAGACCAACGATTTGCTCGGTTGTCTGACATTCAGAACTCCCCATATATGAGTGATATAAACTGGGACTCGGTTTTGCAGAAGAGGCTCATTCCAGGTTTTATTCCTAATGTGAGTCAATCCTAACACACCCGTCATAACTCGCATTCAGTGCACGTTACCCCTTGTGCCAGACCCACACGTTGTCTCATTGGGTAATCACACCAGTGCTGTGAGAGAGCCCAAATTCCTGTCTTACAGATGAGGAAATTGAGGCACACGCAGGGTAAGTTGGGCACTGAAGACCACAAAGCTAGCAAGCAGTCAGGCTGGGATTCTAATGCAGGTGTATTTGCATCCGGAATTCTAGCTCCTGACTACTTCTTGTGATACAATTTTATTGGAAAGAAGCCCTAGTCCCCCACATAGTCATTTCCATGAATCTATGGGTTAAAATAATGTCTTCTCTGATTCCAAAGATGTAGAGGTTTATGTCCATGGAGGCCTGTGAGTCAGAGGATTGAACACTGTTGGGGTTGGGGTGAGGAAGTTATTTTTACCGTTCACCCCTCTGCCCTCGCTGGTTCTATCTCAGGGATCTATATTTGTAAGGACTAGTAGTGAAAGAGAAATAATTCCCACTGGATGGGTCCCAACCACGGGGCATCTGTGGCCTGCTGCACACCACTGGTGAAAGCCACAGTCCAGACGCTTAGGCCAGGTGGCCCAAGGTAGGCCTCTAGCTTCTTTCTGCCCAGGACCTGAACTATACGTTCAGTTGTAGGGATATTGGGCAGAATAATGGGCTTCTAAAGGGCCCTGTAGAACCAACTCAGAGTTTTCTGTTCTCAAGCCCAAGCGAGGTGCTTGCTGTGGGCATGTGGAGTGTGATCCTTCATGTGAAGACAGCAGGGGGTGGGGCATGCTCCAATGAGAGGGTTGGGCCAAAGTGGAAAGAGAGAGAGAGAAGAAAGCAATGTGATGGAATTCTGGAGGTGCAAATCTCCACCTGATAGGGCAACACGAGGTGGGGCCAAGTCCTTACCTGTCTGTTTTGCAGGGTCCGGTAGGGGCAGCTGGTACCATGGTTGATGCGTGACACAGTGGAGTTCTAGGCACCCCCGTCTCTTGCTTCCTTTCTTCCTCCCTGCAATTAGCCATCCACGTTGGCTTAAGAGAAGCTCTACATTGTGCTTCTCTGACATTAGTGTGAATCTGAATCGTCCGGGGAGCTTATTAAAGGACAGATTCTTGGGCCTTGCGTTAAGAAACCCTGATTTGGGAAGTCTCTTCGGAGAACTGGGCGGCTGAGCGAGCGACTCAGGTGATCCTGATCTACATGACCGTTAGCATTCACTTTAACCCAGAAGCTCGCACTTCACAAAAATAATTGTAATTTGGTTTCTTTTCTTACTCCCTAAGGGCTAACTGGAAGTTTAGGAAAAGTAGACAAAATATAAAGTTAAAGAATATGGAAAACAATGCTGGCTACTAGTAAATGGTAGAGAACTTACAATGGGAATCCCCGCTCCTTCTTGGACGGCTTCGTGAAGGCGAAGTGTCGTTTTCCGTATCGTTCTGGTGCGTTTTTAGAACGATACGGGGAACCTGAGGACTGAACCAACCTATCTTCCTCACAGAAAGGCAGGCTGAACTGTGATCCCACCTTTGAACTTGAAGAAATGATTTTGGAGTCCAAACCTCTTCACAAGAAAAAGAAGCGTCTGGCAAAGAAGGAGAAGGAGATGAGGAAGTGTGATTCCTCTCAGGTGAGCAGGGCCCCAGCGGGCTCAGGGTCACGGCAGCCCCATCGCGGGTGCAATTCATCAGAGGGCTTCTGGCAGGGGAGCATCTCAGCCCCCTGCTTCTGCCGTTTTGCAGGATGCAAAGAGAAGCCGAACACTCAGGCTTTGGAAAGGGCAGAGTAAGGCGGCTCTGGGGACCCTAGCAGCGGTGTTTCTAGAAAAATCTAGAAAGTTCTAGACTTTCTCTCTAGAGCTCTGCCATTAACTTGACTCAGTTATTGCCCTCTCCCAGCTCTCAATTCGAAATGTACAAATTTCCCGGAGAAGTGAATGTTGTTGACAAAGTCTAGATCAGATGACTACCCATGAAATTATAGTCAAGGGGCAAATTTCAAAGTATACACTGGTGGTTTGGGGTCCCGCTCTTGCTTTGAGAAGCCTCTGGGAGCAGCCAGCCCCAGAGGTGGTGTCTGTTCCTTGCCACAAGCTGAATTTTGTGATATCAAGGCTTGCCCACGTAGAAAGTGTCTACTCACAGGAACAAGGGAATTCTTATAGGCCAAGCGCTATTGCTGGGTTTCAGGCAGAATCAAATTAATTTTTACAACTAAGTGTATTATTCTCTTATCAGAGTCAGAGTTCGGATTTCAGTACAGAAGTTTGCATAGATGCAGTGGGATTTTATGCTCACATGAGGTTCTATGCATTATGATGATGGTTAAGTAATCAACATTTACTCTGCCTCCAATGGTCATCCATCCGTCCACACAACCATGCATTCACCCATCCGCTCATTTATCCATTCGCCTACCCACCCACCGTGCATCCATCCACGCATCACCCACCTCTCCCTCCTGCCCTCCAGCCATTATCCAGGCTACTTCTATGTAGCGCCTGTCATCTGCCAGGTCCCAGGCTAAACACTGGAGTTAGAAATGAACGAGATATGATTTCTGCACTCAGTGTCATCCTGTTCTCAAAGATTTCATAGTCTGTGGTGAAGACAGTGCTGCAAACAAAATAAATGTGCTCAATGTTCTTAGTTCCTCTAGCCCTCGGGGGCCGCTATACCCTTTAATGGCCAATTAACAAAAGCCCACATCCCCATCCTGTTTGATCACACAAACTAGTCTCTGGCCGGGTTCTCACCATTCAGTGCTTGCTAGGGCCCTGGAGGACTGCCTAGCTGTGCGGCAAACCCAACCCGCTTATAGTTTGTCACTTCAAGCATCTTTCTGCAATGACTCATTCTTGTTCGTATCATAATCAGCTGCGTCTTCAGACGTGCTCCCTCCCGTGACCCTACAGAACTGGGCTCAAGCTGGATGCAGCCCCCTGTGTTAACGAGCCCCCAGATAGAGTAAAGACCTAGATAGAGTCTTCATTAAAAGTGTTCTAAAGCTTTAGACATAACTGAACAATTTGTGAGTAACTTTTGAGCATGCCTAGCGTGCTGCACATGTTCTTGTCCGCCTTTCCTACCCTACTGTCCCGCGCTCGCCCTCGGTCAGAACCCTCCCCCCACACGGGCCCTGCGAGGGTCTGACTCTCAAACGCTGCGTGTTTTGTTCCTCTCCGGGGCTTTTGCCTTTGCCCTTCCCCTTTCCTGGAATGTTCTTCCCTTGGATCTTCACACGGGGGGCTTCCTCGCATCTTTCATATCTTAAATGTCACCTCGTCAATTCTGTTGTTGAATTATAGGATTTTTTTTTACATATTCTGGATATTAAACCCTTAGTAGATATATGAATCGCAGCTATTTTCCCCCTTACTCATTCTATGAAGTCAGTATTACCCTAATACCACGCCAGATAAAGACATCACCAAAAAATGGTAATTCCAGACAGATATCCTTGATGAATATAGATGCAAAAATCTTCATCAACATCTAGCAGGGTATAAAGTTGGGTGGAAATTGTTAGGTTGAGTTGAGGTATTTATTCTTTTTTAATGTAGGTGTTTAAAGACTATAAAGTTTTCTCTGAGCACTGCCTTCATTTCCTTGTGATCAGAGAAAATACCTGGTCTGATTTTGGTCCTTTTAAATTTATTGAGACCTGTCTTATTTGGAGGGCATGGTTCCTATTTCACACGTGCACAAGCTGCTCTGGGAACACACGTGTGCATAGCTCCCTCCCTGAGGCTGGAGGGTGGGGGTAGCTGCTACTGTGCTGAGAGCTCAAATTGATCCTAATTAGCTGCACTTTACCACCCAAGGTTTCCCTTGAAAGTTGCAAGCCTTCAACAGACTCCAAAGTTCCGAAATAGTTACAGCAGACAAATTCCTCCAGTGCAATTGTTGTCTAGGTAGGGAAACAGATTCCTGGTCTCCTCTGCCATCTTTCCCAAATTTTCTTCATATGGCATCCATTTTGAAGATAATTTGGTATTTCTTAGATTTGTGCTATTCACAGAACAAACACATGGATAGGTCATCGGCTGTTTGATAACCCTCATTTGTCTAACTATACCTCTGGTTTGCTTTCACTGTACACCTGGAAGACATGTCTTCTTCAAGAGCACCTTGAGTCTGTCCAGAAGGAGTTCATAATTTTCAACAGAGAAAAGTAAGTCATTCCTGGGAGAACAGAGAAGCCCAGAAAACGATGGAGTGTTTCTCGGCCAGGCTTTACTTGCAGAGACAATATATTTTTAACATTAAATTTGTTTTTCTAATGACAAAAGTGATGCCCATTCATTATAGAAAAATTGGAAAATTCAGAACCTTATTCTTCATATTTTAAGGTATTTAAAAAATTTTGATAGGTAAATTCAGCCTAGCATCAAGTTTTATGGGAGGGCCAAAGTTTAAATTGGGATTTAAACTTTAAATCAATGATGTTTTTAAGATTTCCTTGGTTCATACTTTTTCATAAATTGTTGAGCTTACTGTTATCATTTCAAAAATGTAAACCTTTTATTTTTCTTTTTAAAGAATAAAACCCTCTTTTTTTTTTCTTTTTAAGAGTAAAAAGGGACTTTAATAAAAGGCCAGCAAATCTAGCCTTGGAACAAACCAAAGACCCACAAGAAGAGGACGGCCAGAATAACAACCTATAAAAGCCTCGGCACCTTCTTGGGACACTTCTTGGCACCTCAGGCCAAGAACTTCTGATTATCCACGTCAGAAGAGCCGATAGTAGTTCTTGCCACTCTACACCTCATGACTTAGAAAATGTGAATGAATTATCTTTCTAAGGCGGCATCAGGACACAGTGATGTTCTACAGGGCCTGAGCTCCTGGGACCTAGTGTCATCACTAACTGTGTGATCTTGAGCAAGTCACTTAACCACTTTCCCTGCTTCAGTTTATTTATATAAAATGGGAGGGTCACATTAGATGAGCCATGCCCTGCTTTTTTAGTGCTACGATTGTTATTCTAAACAGCCTTTATTTTTATTTTAAAAGGAATATTTGGACGTAGATTTATTTTTCCACTCCTCTAATTACACAGTGACAAGTGGGCAAATGGACACAGGACTCAGTGAGACTTTTCAGACCTGGAAAACTTCATAAAGAGGTCAAAATCTCTAAGCCGAATTGGATAGGAATAAGGAATTCCATCAAGAAGAAACGCATGGGACCAGATTAAAACAAACAGATTTAGGAGGGCCTTCTAGTGGTGTGCTGGAGTCAGCATCCTAGCAGCTAGCAATAGCCTACTGTGCACATCACTTCCCAACTCTCTCTTCAGGGATGTGACGTTGGTATCTTGAAATTGGCGATAATAGTAGTTTACACCATGGAAATTGGCAGATGCTACAAATCAAGAGTTTTTTTTTTTTTTTCCCTCCTTGCCTGGCAGTTGCTAAATATTAGCACACCATTCTCCTTCTCTCAGTAAGCATATTCCTTGAGGACTAATAGTCTTTTGAGGATTAGCAGAGACCTATATCTGGAAAGGATCTGAAAAAAAAATTGTCACACCAAAAGCATGTCTACCTTGCAGTTCAGCAAAGTGGCATCTTACACAGGGGTTGCAGTCTTAAGTTCGAAGTGAATTCAGAAGAGAGTAAAATTTACCCTTGAAAAGTCCCTTAAATTACCTGTAACATATGGGAAGTGTCTTTTCTCAGTGAAGCCTAGTACAGTAGAGTCACCCTTCAGTAATGAAACAAGTCATCGTTTTTATTTTGTTTGAATTCTTGTTCATTATTATTATGTCTGGTCTCATTTTAGCTAATACCAGATGTACCAAAATGCTGAGCAAATCGCACATGTCTTTGTAGACTAGCATTACTCTTCATACAGTGGGATGCTCACACATCTGAGCGGTGTAAGTTCATGGAGACTGACTAAAGGGCCAGTGGTATCATGTCTCCCCGCTTGTGCTGACTGCAAGGATGGCAGGTAGAATTGCCTCATTATTTAAAATATCACTGATGTGTCACTCTTTCTTTTTTTTAATATTTTTATTTATTGATCTGCCAAGCACAAAATTTAATTCGCCTGTGTGAGATGTGCACATGATGTGACCCCATTGTACTGCTACGCAGATCTTTGCAGAAGAACTATTTTTGGCAACGCACACATGCCACTGGGTACAGTCAAGAAGTGAACCAGCTTAGCGGGGATTGTTCTAACCATGTGGCTACTCAACGTCGCCTAAACCTGCCCTTACTCAGGGAGAGGATGGGCCTCTCTAGGGTGGCAGTAAGCTGGCAACAGGGAACACCAGACTGACACTCACGTGGGAAGCCCGGCAGGTGGGAACAGACAGAAGTAACAGAGATGGCCGCCTGCTAGGGAAGACTTATCCAGAAAGGAGGTCACGCTGGGGCACCCGAGCATGAGTAGAAAGCCAGAGCTAAACTTGAACTTGGCGTTTACCATTTTCTCCTCACTGAGCTAACAGGCCCAGCATTTCTGGCAGAGCTGTGAAGTAGTGCCTCTCTATGTTAAGAGCAGCCATATTTTTGTTAAAGAATTAAAAGCCAGCTTTTTTTTTGTTCTGTTTGTATGATTCCTTTCTCTCTACAGTTTCCACTGTTATCTATGCGATGTTGTGTATCTCCAAACACTATCAACGTTAAGCACCTGCCCTGACTTCATTTCAAAGAGGGGGATGGGTTGAAAAGAGCATGACTAAGAAAGTGGCCAGGTTCTGCTCCAGGCGATAACCCCCGGAGTGACAGGGGCCACGTGCATGTTTACCAGCTTCCATCGTTCATGTACTTTGATTCAAGCCTTGATGTGCTGTGGCCTTATCCCCCTAGTCACCTGGTTTCCTCCTCTTTCTGTGACCTTGTTTGCATTCTCCCAAAGGAGAGGCTTTGGGAAACGTTTCTGTTCTCATGCTCACCAAAGGGCACTGGGACCATTAGGTTCTCCCTCGTGATGACAGTTAATCTTTAGTGCCATTTCACGTCTGTACAACTTATAATGGGAACCCAATACAATCTCTGCGCTCTCACTCCCTAGCTTTTATTTCCAGCGAGCCGGGCTTTCGGGAGCCGTGGCCGCACTGATTAGAGAGCAGTGTCAGAGGGTAAGATGAATCTCCAATCCCAGCCAGGCGACAGACACGCAGTGTGTTTCAGCTTAGAAAAGAAAAACCACTGTATCTGACAGTGCAGAACAACTGAGTCTTAAGCACCTCCTACCACTGTGCATTTTAAACATGAGAACAAAAAAAGTTTTCCAAAACTCAAAACTTTTCCTAAATCCTACGGTTATGGCTGGTTGTTGAAGTCAGCTCCTTTGGTTGCTTGCATTCCATCACTGGAACTAAAAGAAACATGTCTCCCCTGTTCCCAGGTGGAACATAATAATCTCATCTGGAAGCGTAACAGCCAAAGCTCAGGGATGAGAATTTTAAAAAACAGGATGACTGTTATATCCTTTTGTCTGGTATTCCTGAATGTTTTTCTTCTGACGGCGTCCCCTCCCCCCTCCCCCTTACCTGTATGGAGCATCTGAAAAGTCTGAGCAGGTTTTGAAGTCCAGGAGCATGCTGGTTCTAACACGCTTGTGCTGCTTCGGGACTGCGCACCTCCCGTGTGTTTTTGGCGACCTCTAGTGGATGAGTGGGGCAGCTGCACCCTGCCACTTTGGCCACCCTCTTTCCAGGGAAGACAATGCTCTCTGCCTATGCATGGCTCACCCACCCCCAAGGCAGCACTGGTTTTGCCTGAGGTCATTGCTAGGGCAGAAATGAACATCAAGCAGCATGGAACATTGCTAAATTAATTATGCTAATCTAATTAAGTAGTGGTTAGGCTTTTTCTGATAGAAATTTTTAACCAGAAGCAACTAGACTTTCTATCATCATAGCTTTTGCAGATTGGGTGGATAAATAACTAGGAAGAAAGAGTGTTAACGTAGCCGGCAGGGACCAGTGTTGCTGCTTGTGGCTGACGTAGTAACGCTGAGGCTTTAATGCTTCAAGAGCTGAAACGAAAAGGCATGACAAGCGTTGTGAGTTTGTTTCAGTAACCAGCTGTCCCTGTATTCTGTCTACACAAAATCCTGTTTTCTACGCTGTCTGCCTGTGATTACTGTTTATTATAAGCTCCGTGTGTCTCATTGGTATTAAACGCTGGTATAAAAATCCAAACTTCGCTTGTCTGTGCTGTTGTGAACAGGCAGCTGACCTGGCGGTGCATGAATGAAAAACAAGTGCTTCTGTTGAGCTGTAGCATATATAATGTAAATGTGCCTGTGTGTATTAAAACGGTCTTCTGTAAACAGTAAGCCACGGACCCTTCTTTGTCAGCTGCGTGTGTGTGATTGTTTTCCCTAGCGGTAGCATCGCGGTGCCCAAAGTGACCTGTTTTTACTGCCATTCCCTGCAGTGAAGAATGTCGTGTCCTTTACCTGAGATAAGCTAGTGTTGAGATGAGATGATGTCCGGCACTAGGGAGTGCAGCACACCTTAACTCATCCACATGGAGAAAAACTAAAAACCCTGACCCCTCTGGCATTCTCAGCTCAGGGAACATAGCCGAGACTTCCAGTTTCTGCCTTTCACTATGACCTGAAGCCCATGGGTGGCCTGTGCACCTCTTTCTTCAGCACCCTGCCTTCCTACCTTCCCCTCGACATCTTTGTCCTGTCCCGTTGGATACACCAAAGCAGCGGGCAGAGGCTCCAAGGCTTGTAATCTGGGATGGGAAGGTAAGAGGCAGCTCTGAATTCCTGCAGCGAGAAGGACCTTCTACCTGCGGAGAGAATACAGGCACCTGCCACCTTCCCTCCAGGCCCGCCATAGCTCAGCAGCCAGCACACCGCTGGCTCCCTGGGCTTGTCCTGCAACAAGGAGGCTCTTGTATGTTTCGTGGGCTCTCAAGTCCTGCATGCTGAGTACACTGTGGTCCAGGTCTTGTGTCCTGTTGTGTTCCTAGCAGCCGTTCTGAGCAAAGGGCAGGACCTAGAACTCTTTCGATTGTGAAGAGCACCAGCCTTAAGTATGTGACGTCATTTTTGCACACTGCTCTGGCCCTTTTATCCATCTCCTGCTCGTGGTTGGTGTCCCCTTTGTGACATGCTTATGGTAAGAAAGCTCATTCTAGAAAGTTCTTTAGAACCAGAGGGCCCTTGTTAGTCCTATTCAGTGTTCTCATTCCTTACCTGTCAGATGTGACTCAGCCACCAGAATACCTCCCCCCCTCCGAAGGAAGAGGTGTGAAAGTTAACCAACGTGTATCTTTCACCAACTTTTTTTTTTAAAACCACTTCATCCTTTTTAGAGTCCTGCACCCCGAGTTCATTTTAGGTGCTGACTATTCCTTTTCAACTCACTCTAGTTCTAAACAGAGCTCAGCTGCTGTCTTGGTCACGTGCAGGGAGAGGCGTTTCATTAATCCTGAGTTTGAGCCATATGGGACTATGGACCAAAGCTTATTAAACATCAAACCTTGAACTTTAATTGTAAAATAATTCATTGTCTATGCACTCACAGAGTAGCTTTTAGTCTGGTTCCTGAGCTTCTGTGTTAAAAGGTATAATAACTCTGTGCTCCTGTATCCAAGACATTGTTCCATCAAACCGAGAGGAGCTTGGTTTATATAAAATATAAAAGCAATTAATCAGAAATTGTCATCCCCTGGTCCCCGATCTCCTCTCCCACCTGTCTCAACCTATACACAGATGCATCACTGAGCAAAACATTCATGCCCTGCAGGCTTGAGAATGGTGCCATAGCCACTGCTGGTTTTGTCTTACTAGTATCCACGCTGTCTCGAATCACAAAATGGTTTTGAGAAGTTAGTGAGAGTCCACATGGTCCCGGTGGCTCAGGGGCTAGGCATGTGACCAGGCATGGCCAGTTAGTCCCATGTTTTCTTCAGCCAGTCAGTAGCTCCATGAACAAGTGCCCCTGAGCCAGACCAATCAGAATCAATTTCTTCGGCTGGAAATTTGAGGGACTCTCTCTCCGTCCTCTGAGCTTTACTAAGCAGGTGAAATGAAAACCTGGAGATGCTGATGACCAACTCTGCCCCCAGTGGAAACAGCTTCCCTAAGAAGGATGCATTTACTGAAAGCACACAGGGCTGAGAAGGAAAGAAGCAATGTTCTGACGTCAGGGTTTAGTGCTTAGACCCAGTTATACTTGAATCTGCTCAAATCAATCCCCGAACTTTTTCAGGTGCGCCAGGCTTCAGAATTCTCCTTTTCAGCCGGGCACAGTGGCTCATACATGTAATAACCAGCACTTTGGGAGGCTGAAGTAAGCGGATCGCTTGAGCCCAGGAAGTGTGAGACCAGCCTGGGCAACACAGTGAGACCCCCATCTCTACAAAAAATATAAAAATAGGCTGGGTGTGGTGGTTCACGGCTGTAGTCCCAGCTACTCAGGAGGCTGGTCGTCACTTCTGCTCAAGGTTGCAGTAAGCTCTGATCACAACGCTGAAATCCAGTCTGGGTGCCACAGCGAGACCCCGTCCCTAATAAATAGATGAATAAAATTCCCCTTTCCAACATCTTCCCCCTTTAAACTAGACTAACCTTTGCAATGAACAATGACCCACCCAAATCTGAGCTGGATGCAGTGGTATGTCCCCGAAAGGGTTAGTATAACAGGTCTGGTAGGATGTTAAAAGATGATAAAGGATAGAAGTGCTCAGTAGTCAAAAACATTTGAGAATCCTGAACTGGACAAAGTCTGAAAGACTTCTTCATTACAGGATTTCTCAGAGTCTTCAATGTGTTTGATATGTACCTTAAAGCTCTCAGAAGAGTAGACATACAAATAATCCTTTTGAACACTCATTCAACTCCTTGGGATCCGTTTGCTGAAGAATATACTTTGCCACATGCTTAGTTTGAGTTTTTCTCCAAAACAATCTAATAGTAAAGCTTTAAGGAAATGACAAACCCATTCCCCAACCAAAAAAAAAATACCCTAACACTTTGAAGTTCTGTTGACTCAGGTGAAATTTGATGACCCATAGAAAAAAACCTTATTCATTCCCCAAAGTTTCAGTAATGGTTATCAATTTTTGTGGCAAAAACTAACGACTCAACCTCAATGAAAAGATAGAACTCTCCCATTCCAAATTTTCTCCAGATAATTCTGCTATCATCAGATCTGCCTCTCTCGCTATGTATTTCACGTTTATTATACAATTTTAGTATTTTAGGTGAAATGGCACATCACACACAGAAGAAGACTGGAGAACAACATTGGTAATTTCATAGTTATTTTAATAACCAGGTTTACATTAACAGTCACTTAATGAACTTTTGTTTTCTTTAATCTCAGCTAAACTCAAAACACAGTTTTCTTCACGGTTCAAAGCAAACAGCTCTTTGCGTCGCAGAGCTGCCTCACTGCTAGCACAGATCACGGGAGGGTTACTGTCTGTCCATATCCACCAGACACAGAACTGAACACCCACACACCAGTTTTCAAAGAGGAAACTTACAATGAATGCTGGCTGCCCGGGACAGCCCAAGAGTGTATCTGGGACTCGAGCTGGAGTTTTCCAGGGGAGAAGGCCCGGGAAGCTTGTGGCAGGAACCAAAGTTGGGGACTCGTCCACCCTGTTGGAAAGGGCTGCTCGGGGTGAGTGAAAGTCCAGGCTTAGGGAAGTCAGGCCTTTGGGGAAGAGGGTGACACTCTGGGAACAGCCATGAAGAAAAAGCTCAAAGGATGACTGGACTTTACAGAAAACCCATTTTGGGGATGACTATAATCCTGGTATTTCTAGAAAATTTAGCTGGTGGCCCTCTCAGAAAGAACTCCAACTGATTGCCATGTGGGTGTAGGGACATTGTGAGGGGGTTGGGAGGATGGCAGGGGCACACTCAGAGAGGGGCCCGGCCACGGGATGAGATGGCAAAGACAGCTTGGGAGTGAGACAAGATCCGGGGAGCCTTCCCACATCCGGATGAGGTGCCTGTGATTTTAGAAAGGGCCACGACTCTCGTCGGTTTCTTTTCCTAAACCCTCTGCCTAGGGCTGGTTGATGCGTCTTATGGGAAGAGAGCAAATCTGAATATAAATTTTAACTTAAGAAACATATCCCTCAGTACTCATGTTAAGAAAATGGTGGAAGTTCTTTTTAGGAATTCTCAGGAATGTCTACGCTTGGGAAATAAGTTTTAGTCATGGTAAGTGAAGAAAGAGAGGCTTCCTCAGATAACGCTGCCCATCCTGAGGGCAGGAAGGGGTGGTTCCTACAGCATGGAGAGCTTGTGTGGAATATAAAGTTCCAACGGGAATTTCCATTTTGGAAGTCCCAGGCGTGGTGAAGATGACCCACGTGGCCATGGAAGATTTATCTTCATGGCACAGAGAAGCTGTGGAGGGTTGAGTTGGACTCAGGAGCTGGGTAAGGGCAGAGCAGACGGTGCAGAAGGGGATGCTCAGAATTGAGTTTATTTATGTGCCTTTTCCTCCCTCTGGTGGTTGTGGCTGGAACTGCAATCTATATCCTAAATCCCCGCCCAGCTAATGAGGTATATGGTTTGGATCCGGCAAAACTCTGCGTATGAAACTGCCACTCTCAGTTCTACGGGAGGCCCCCAAATCTTTGAATTGCAAATTAAGAGCTACATTTTTCCCTTTCACCTAAGTTTCCCTTAAAAGAAAAGCACCACGAGAGCCTTAAAATAGTAAGATTCTCTATTATGAGCAGGGAAACGTCTTTTTCATGACTGGAGCAGAAAGTAGCTTGCTAGGGGGAAATCCTCTTCCTTGGCTATTTCCAAAGTCCTCTGTAGCCAAGTGTTGGCTTTTCTCTAGTCTTCAACTTTCTAAAACCTGAAGTCAAAGATAGCGGTTTCTTCTAAGCACTTAAAAGGTGTTTGAGGCCTGCTCTTCTCTTCAAAGTACTTAGTACACAGGGCTATGGGTTCTACCAGCCGGGTGCCCAAGAGCGCAGAGGTATGATTCCCGGGTGGAATATATTTTTTTCCTGCAAATGGGTGCCTTGGTTCTACACATCCTCATCTTGCTCACAGAACTTGCTCCAAAACCGAGCTTTTAGAAGTGGCGTGAGAGGGAAATGGACATCAGCTGTGACAGGCCAGGCAGGTGCAAACGCTCCGCTCCGTGCTAATTTCCCTTGGGTGCCCCCTGGGAGGGCTGCGTCATGGCGTTTCCACCCACCTGGGGACATACTGGTACCAAAACAAAAAGAGCCCCCAGAGGCTCTGCTAATGGGAGGGGAAACGGATGATTTAGAATAGGAAAACAGAAGGGGGGGTTAGGGGTGGGGGAGGCACAAAATGTGCTCCCTGTGCTCGAGGCTGGCTTTCCCAAATCCCTGCTTGACTCCCATGTATACTGAAAGTACCCATTAACGGTAAAATATAAGGGAACACACACCTAATAAAATCAACTTTCGAAACAAAAAGAAAGATCCTGTTATTACGGATGTACCTGGATCTCAGGACATCAAGAGAATCACTCACCACTGGCAAGAGAGGCCCTTCATTCTGCCCCATCTAAGCTGAAATCCTGACTCGGGAGGCGGAAGCACGCATGCATGCTACTCCTCTCGGTTTGGGTTTTGCAAAGACAGGAGAGGGAGAGGGAACTCATCATCGTGATTAGAGGGGGGCGTCTGCAAGCTGCGGCCGCCCTCACCTCCGAGGGCCTGTGTGCTGTGTCCGCAGCTGTTGGCTTTCAAGAGCACCAGAGGCGCAGGGAGGGCGAGAGGAGGAGAAGCATCACCCGCTCTCCCCGTCCGCCCTCCCCAGCCCGGCAAAGAGGAGGGTTTGGAAGCGACACTGAGAAGGAGGCCCGGGCAGACACTGGCAACAGTGAAGCAGGTGGAAGAAATGGTTGGGTTTGGCATTTTAATAAATGTTCAAAGAAACAAAATCTACTAGGAGGGGACGTGACATAAGCCCAGAACCCAATGACTGCCTGCCTTCTCCACAGAGCCCAGGGGACCGAGACGAAGGGACAGCTGCCACAAGCGGCCGTCTCCCATGGAAATAAACGCATGTCGTCAACACAATACACAACACCCCTTCCGCTCACCCTCACCCGGCCCACCCACCCCCCGCCTACACGCCCAACCCCAGCCCCTCTGTCTGCGCCCTCCACCTTGCTCCGGGCTCCCACCACCCACTCACCCCAAGTAACCTGCGTCCCTTTTGTCCATTTCCCTGACATCCCAGCTTTGTCTGTCCCCTTGTCGTAAGATGCAGCACTACACACGCTCTCAACACTATAATAATATAGCAGACTCTTTTACCTTAGTGGCCTGTCTGACTGCATGCATGTAAATGGGGAGGGGCCGAACGAATCAAGGCTATGCATAAACAGAAAACAAAGCAATATTCGTAAAGCTAGGCAAGCGAGCGTTAACATTGGAGAAACATAAGGCTTGAGGCTTGTTGATTCTTTAGATCGCAACTGTTTGGATTCACTTTCCTTCTTAAATATCGGTGTACCATTTTGGCTTCAAGAAAATCTCTTCTTGCTTCTGCCCCTCTCTTTGGGGAGTGGGTTGCTTAACTCAGGGATGTGATATTGGAACGGCCTCCAGGGGGCGCCACGATGCGCTTGCTGGCGGAGCGGACTCCCTCGTCCACCTGGGTGCCTGCAGTTGGAAATGAAGTCCCAGGGAGGGAAAAAAAGGGAAGGAGAGGGGTGTGGGCAAGAGAAAAACTGGATTAATTTCAAGAGGGCAAGATATTAAGTGCCCTCCTGGCCTCACCTCCCAAGATACTTCCATTCCAGTCTGTCAGGTCTTCTAGACTTTTCTTACGTCCCCCAAAAGTACTGGCTGGTAGGAAGACCCAAGTTCTTACCTAGATGTCATCTGCCCCTCAGCATAATAATAATACAAGGAAGAACAGCGATGATGATGGGCAAAATAACTGCTTACATCCCTTGTGGCAGGCAACGTTTTCAGTGCTGAACAGATTACCACGTTGAACCCTCAGCACTGGTCTGACTGGTCTGAGAGAGGCACACTCACTGCCCCTGTGTTACAGGCAGATAACCGAGGCTCTGAGAAGTCAGGCACCTTGCCCAAGGTCTCACAGTGCGAAGTGGTAATGGTCAGGTCCCTGTGACCACAGCACAAAAGGACACGTTGGTGTGTGCGTGTGTGCGTCCCTTCAGAAAGGAGCCTCGAAAAGCTTAAGTTTTAACATAGCCAGGGAGCAACAAAAAATGGCCCCAAATTGCTTGGAACTAGCAAAATGTGGCCTCTGGGAAAGGGACCTCAAGACTTTCAGCTCTTTTCCTTTGTCTTGCTTCTCCTATACCCCTCCTTCCCTCTTTCTCCCTGTCTCTCTGCTTCTCCCATTCCTTATTACTCCTCTCTTCCCCATATGCCGTGATTTTCCATTTAAATACATCTTTCCTTTCTTGGTATCTTGCTTCTCTCACATTGTTCATTATAGGGCTGCAAATCTACATTTACTTTCCCCCATTTTAAGACCACTGGTTATGGAGCAACCGAATCATTATTTATTTATATCAGAGAGTTCTTCAAGACCAGGTAAGATTAATGGCTGACACATGGTAATTGTTCAATCCATGGTAGCTGTTGTCAGCATTATTACTAGGGATGGGAGAATATAATAAAAGTCCTAGGTTATAAGAAGCTACTGCAATCTGAACATAAAAATAATCTGAGCTATCTTTTAACCTGGGCGAAGAAAACACAAGATACTGCACAGCCCTCATAGGCTTCTGTAGAAAATCACTATTAATTCATAGTGGGAATCACTCCCCTACCCCACACCCCATCCAGGTCTGATCTCTAAGCAGAATTTGTCACCATTTAAAATGTTTAGCCTGACTGTGCCTTGAATTACTTTCTCACCAGGACCTATTGTTGAGTCAGCAAACCTTGTTTGCCCCACTAACCTTCTCCCTAAGGATGATGCTAGCGCTGGGCTTGAAAATACACAGTCAGGCTGAGCTCTCAGGAACACCCCCCGGGCCCCTCCTCTCCTCCCCTGACCAGCCTGCAGCACTCACCTGACAGACTAAACCCAGACTGGTGGAGATTCCGCACGGGTGGGTTTGGCCGAGTGGGAGAGCCCCGGGTTGAGCCCGCGGGGGTGCCCCCTTTGGGGGTGGTGGTCAGGTCAAACACCGGCCCGTCATACATGCCCCTCGGGACGGCATGCAGGTCTGCCATCTGCAGCCAGAGAGGAGCGTGTCACCATTCATTCATTCAGCAAGTTAGGGTTTGTTCTAGGTAGCATAAATACATCAGTGAATAGAGAATGTGTAGTAAGAGCCAGCAAATGATGATGATAAAGAGGAAGGGAGAGGTGGTATAAAATAATGGAGTGTGTCATGATAGAGTGACAATGGAGGTGGTCAGGGAAGACCTCCCTAAATAGAGGAGCTTCGATGTGAAGGATCAAAGGACCTTGCCGTGGGGTTAGGGTTGTGAGAGGGGGAGGCTGAGGGGAGGCAGAGGAGTGGTGTGGATGACAGCGTAGCCAGCCGAGGGGAGAGCAATTCCAGAGAGCAGCAGCGGGAACATTATGAGGTGGGAGAACAGCAGTACAGCCGGAGAGAGCGATCGGAAGGGCAGCAGTCTGAGACGAGGTCCCAAGTGCTGGCCAGGATGGGTCACGTGGGAGCTCCACCCTCACACCCTTCGGCACAGAGCAGGGTTGGCAGGCCTGGAAGTGAACGTCTGTGGTCTGACCCACTGACCTCCGGCTGTGGCCGTGAGCTTGCCCTGGGACTGTGGAGCCAGCCAGCAACACCAGCCCAGTGCGTGCTCTGCTGGGCCGTGTGCCAGGCGCTGGGGTTTACGGTCACGGGCAGCACGGTGCCTCCCGCACAGGGGCTCACAGTCTCTATTAGACAAACACTGCCAGACCACCCAGGCCAGCAGCACAGCCGGCACACAGCTCCCGTCCGTTTCTTTTCTCTGGCCAGAGGTGAGGCAGTGAGGACACGCTGCCAGACCAGCCCGACCGCACAGGACGATCGTCGATCGTCGTAAGACTCCCTGGAAGTCCTGCCAGAGCCTTCCCTCCCTGTGAGGGCCTCAGGTGCAGGCACGGAAGCAAAGCCCATCAAGTCTGCAGTGCTAATGGCTCCAGTGGGACGACCACCGTGTCTGTCCTCCCCAAAACCAGTGAACTCGGAATCGTCAACATTTCTTTGGTTCCAGAATCGAAGACAACAATAGAAACAGAACTGATACTCAGAAAGTTTGAGTTTCACTCTCTTCTCTAAATTGAGCCAGAACTGGAGTGTGGAGCTCAAATTCCACAATCCTAGGGCTGGTCTAGCCTCGCTTTGTGGGGCATAGCACGCATACACAAAGGTGACCCGGAGACTGGTGAGGAGAAGAGAGAAGAGGTGAAAAGAAAGTTCTAGGCCTCACCTCCTAAATCAACTAGAACTGGACCTGTTTGTTTTATATGTATACACACATGTGTATGTGTGTGTATATATATATATATACACTTATACATGCGTGTGTGTGTCCGTAGAGAGGTAGATACATATATATTAAAAAACCCAGCAACACAAATAAGATTTTATTTGAACCACAACAGCTAAACGTTGTGCTTGTCCCAGTGGAGCAACACTACACAGGATGGGACAAGGATGAGTGGGTGTGGACTCCTGCTTCTCATCTTAGTTTTTTAGGAGTAATTTTATTTCTTAAAAAAAAAAAATACTGATATCATTTTAAATTATTTTAAATAAAAGCACTATAAAAATGTGGGGAAAAAAACGCTTTCTTCGGCCAAAAAGTTTTCAAAACCCCTTTTACTAGTACAATGAGCCTGCGCAGTTGTTCTTGGGGACAAGATCGTCACTGTGAATTTCTTTGTGAGAGTCTAGAGAACACGGCCCCCTCCTGATCTCACGGCTACTATCCCTGGGCCTCAATGGCACACAAAGCCCCTGCCCCAGCTCTGGGCTCCCCTGTTTCTTACCTTCCTCCGGGCTTTGATGCGCTTGTAGACATAGTCGGAGAACGGGCTGCAGGGGATGAAGCGGCCGGCCCCCTGGGTCACGTGCAGGTTGCCATCTTCCAGCATGATCTTGCCCTGGCAGATGACAACCAGAGGAGCCCCGCGCAGCTCCATCCCTTCAAAGATGTTATACTCCGCAGCCTGGAGACAGGGTGAGGGGCAGAGCCATGGCAGGGGTAGAAGCGGGAGGGGGAGGGGAAGAGGAATGTGGTTATCTCCTGTATTTGGGACCCTGCCTTCAGTGTCCCTAGGGGCTGATTTACCAGGTAAGCCAGGAAGAGCTCACCATGCATCTGCAAGCTTTCAGTGGTGGAAGGCACCAAAAGACAGATGCTTGCTAAGTACAGACTGGACTTGCTAGCAAAAAGACGTGTCCAATCTTTATTAAGGCCCTCAAGTGGGAGTCAAGTTTTGTCACTGGCAGTGTCCAAGGAGAAGCTGGATAACTACTAGGGATGCTGTGTGTGGCAATCTTGTACTGAGTGGGTGGGTAGAGGGGTTGTGTGGCCCTGAGGTCCCCACTAGCTTGAAATTAAATCATGTGGAATGACACAATGTTTACGCAAAGGCCATTACCACCCCAAATGGGATTTCTCACTACCTCCTTCCGTGACTCAACAAGCGAGAGGCATTACTGCAGCGTGGTTGAGAACATCAGTTTGGAGTCAGGTTTTAGTCTTGCTTCACTGTTCGTTGGTGCTTAAGTTATTTAAATTCTCTGTACCTCCATATTCTTATCTATAAAATGGGGATAATAATAGTACCTACCTGTGGAAGACTATTATGAAGATTCAGTGAATTAAAAGCACAGTGTCTGAAACATAAGTGCTTTAAAAATATTAACTATTTTTTACCAATAAGTATTAAACTTGTTTTTGTTAGGTCCTGCCTGCACTTTCATTATGATCTTCCACATGAGCCTCCTTATGAGAAGGTCAATCAGTGCTGCTCACCAGTTATTTCCTACTTTTTTTCTCCATCCAAGCACAAGTATCATTGTGCTTCCTGCATTCCCGAAGTTAGGTACGGCCACACGGGGCTACCTTTGGCCAGTGCAGTGTGGCAGGAAGTTATACACGCCACTTCCAGTGGAAGCTTTTAGGGCTGACTCACCATTCACCATGCCCTGTTCCCCGCCTCGGCCACCACAGAGCATGTGTGGAGGGGATGGTCGGGGAGCCTTGGTCAGCCCCAGTGCCTGAGTGACTGGGATGGCCAGAGCCCCTCTGCTGACCCCCCAGGCTTGAGAAGCAGGAGTGAGAAACACCGCTGAGGTTTTATAAACCACTGAGATTCGGGGATGGATTGTTGCTGCAACGCCTCCTGGTCTAACTACCCTGGTGTACCACATAAACACATTGCTCCCGACCCGGTTCTCTGCATGCATTCCCCATTCATTCTCCTCCACGCCCGCCAGCCGGGAGCCTTACAGACTGGTGGTTCTTGGCAGAGACGATCTTCACAGCATCTGGATCCCAGATGACCAGGTCGCTGTCAGAGCCCACAGATATTCTTCCCTTGCGGGGATACAGGTTGAAGATCTTGGCAGCGTTCGTGCTTGTCACAGCCACGAACTGGTTTTCATCCATTTTCCCTGTGGCCTATTGAATACAAAAAATAAAACTACATCCATATCTCTATCACTATATCTATCTATATATCAATAATATAGCAGGGCTTCTGAGCTCAGAGGAAGATGGCCACAAAGGCCCAGAAGTACAAAGAGGAGCGTCTGAGGTGGTTAGCACAGAACCTCCCCAGCAAGCTTAAGAATCAGCTGGGCTGTCATGACTCCTCAGGCAAAATGGTCAAACACATGGTTTCAGATAGAAGTTAATGGTCCTGCAGCATACACTGTTTTCTGGATATGTACATACATTTACTTATTTGCCCTTCCTAATTCTACACTTGATCTTAGCCAAAAGGCCGAGAAGCAATGCCCTTCCTAATCCTAAAAAGGATATTAATAGATGATTCACAGTAAAAACAAATGCAATTGTGTACCATACTTTAGATATGTGCTTGTATTTGCATGTGCATAGGATAAATAAGGAAGAACTTCACCCAAATGATAACAATGGTTTCCTTGGGTTGTAAAATTATGAAATATTTTTTTTTCTTTCGTGTGTGTGCATGTCTGTGGTTTCCAAGTGTTCTTTGTTGAGCATGTATCATTGTTGGTAATTTAAAAATATATTTTTTTTAACAATTCCAGATAACGCCAGGATAAATACATATATACATCCATAAATACAAAGCAGTGTAAAAGAAAGCTAACACTGTGAAAGAAGAGACAAAATACTTACACTTTCCCTTTTCTCAAAACAAAAGGTCTGTTTAAAGAAAAAATTGAGTTTAAAATCTAGCTTTGAGCTTCCTGGGAGCCAAGAAGACAATGGAAACTCAGTGGATTACGCTGTGTAGATGAATGAGGCACTAATTCATATACATTCTATTTGGCTCTGAGATGAATGTCTTTAGAGTTCTTAAAACAAAACATAGGGAACTTAATAATGAGTTAATTATTAATTTTACTAAAATTTTTGGGAGAGTCTTTGTTTGCACGGCATTTCCTTTTGTTAGCCCTTGTGATGTGAGCAAGGAAAACAAAATCAGGCCACTATGCCAGAAGACATTGATAGGTGATCATTTGTATAGTCTAGATGACCACATCCCCTCAGTATGGGGCAACCTTGATAAGCAGATGAGTTTAGTCTAGGCACAGACTCATTACTTATCATTTCAAAGGGTTATATTCAGCTGTTTCAAAAGAAGTCATGAAACTCTCCAAGCAAAAAGAATTAATTCACTACTATTTTAAGTACAGGTCATTTATGCCATCAGATGAAGGTGCTGTATATCTGGTTCCTAGTCCTTAACAGTCTAGAGGAGAAGGCCCCCTCAATCCTAGATCTCAGGATTCATCACCCCCAGGAAAAAAATCCCACAACCACCTGGGCCACCTGGTTCCAGAGACATCTCTGCAGGTACGAGACCTCACCTGGACCCTGAGCATCGCCCCTGGGGTGGCACGGACAAGCAGTGTCACCAGCTCGGTTGGTGGCAGGAGACTCTGCTCTGGCCCTAGCCAGCCTTGCACAACCTTGATCCCTTACCACGGCCTTGTCCCAGATGACAGACATCCGCTCCTCCACACCATTGGTGCCCTCGGGAATGGCTGTGAAGTTGTCCTTCCCAATCGCTTTCTGGGCAGTGCTGAAGGTGCAGTGGGCGCTTCCAGACAGTTGCAGATCCCCACTGGCAAAGGACAAAAGCTCTATGTGAACAGGAGAAATGGCTGGAGACACATCAGGGGCCCAGAATCTAGTGTCCACTGTGAGGGTTTGGAATCCCTCCTCTACCTCTTACTAGCCGCAAGATGAGTTTCTTTCTTTCTCTGGGCTCAGTGACCCCATCTGGGAAGTGAGGGGTGTGAGATCAGATCATTTCTGTTGTAGCAAAATGCAAAAGGGCTCCAAGGAGCAATGACATGATCCCACATGTCCCCAGAGGGCAACAATAAATGAGCTACCTATAATTTTTATGTATTGATTTATATTTTTAATTATTATGGGTGCATAATAATTATACGTATTTCTGAGGCACATGTGATGTTTTGAAATAGGAATATGATGTGTAGTGACCAAATCCAGGTAATTGGGGGATCCATCACCTGAAGCATTTATCATATCTTTAGGAACATTCCAATTCCACTCTTGTAGCTATTTTTAAAACATACAATAAATTATTGTTAACTATAGTCAACCTATTGTGCTACTGAATACTAGATTCTATTCATCTTATGTCAAATATGTTTTTGTACCCATTAACCATACTCACTTTATGCCTCCCCTGGTCTCCCTACCTTTGGTAACCATCATTCCACATTCTATTAATATCTCCACGAGACCCTGAACATGCCTGATCTTGTCCCTGTAATTTTGATTGTGTCATCATGACCAGCTATTTGAATTTAGTCAAAAGATTTAGCCTCCCTGACCCTCAGTTGCTTAATCTATAAAATGCTGATAATAGTGGCTCACTCATAAAGTTATCACGAGGAACCAATGAGATCACACATGCAGTCTCACCATAGAGCTTGGCACATAAAGTTATGGCTATTATCATTACTACTAGTATTACAGTATTTTTGTTTAAAATGTGATGGGGAAGAGCCTGTTTTCCATGCTCAAAACTGGAGGACAATTCTCCATGTATTTTTCACACTGCAAACTCTACTCTAGCTGATGGATGGGACTGCTGCAGTCCTCATCCCAGCTGGCCCCAAGATGTTTCTATAAAACACCTGCTGCCGGGCATTCCCACACCAACCTGGCCAGCAGGGAGTTGATGTAGTCAGGAGTGGTTGGGTCAGGACTCAGAGGTGGAGATGTCACAAACGCAGCCGCCTTGGCCCAGTTCTTGCTCCAGTAATGGGTTCCATCTATGCCCAGGCTGGCAGTGATGGGCTCGCCAAAGACCACGTTTCCTGGAAGGGGAAGGAAATAGGCAAGGGTCATGTATGTGCTGCCCTGGGCCCGGCATGTTTCATCACAGCTCCTATGCCTACCCAAGGCTGTGGCTGGGAGCCAGACAGGCCTAGGTTCAAGTCATTGTTTCCAACTTTTCTAAGCTTCTGCTTTCCTATCTGCTAAATGTGAACAATTTTGTATTCCCTAGATTAGAAGAAGCTGTTGATTGTAAGATGCAGCATTAATTCTCAAATTTGGAGGCAAATTAAAATTGGAGGCAAAAATAAATAAAAATATATATTGGTTTTAAGGTTCATCCTAATTTCAGAGATATTAAAATGTGAAATAGACATGTCCTAGAATAAATGAAACAAAACAAGCTGATGTCTACTTCTCAGGCTTATGAAAATGAAAGGTTCTGGCATATGTGAAGGGTCTGGCACATAGGTGCTCGGTAAACATTGACTTCTTTACATCCTCCTCCTTCCCACTGCACAAACTCAAAGCCCTGGATGTGCCCCTGTCACTTGGAATTGCTAGATCCTCCCCTTACAAGGACATTCTTTGATTCCACAAAGAAAAATACTTCGCTGTGGATCAGAGGACTTCCATTTAATTACCTTTCTTTCTTTTCTGATACAGGGTTGCTTTGTTGCCTGGGCTGGAGTGCAGAGGCATCACCATAGTTCGCTGCAACTTCAAATTCCTGGGCTCCAGCGATCCTCCTGCCTTGGCCTCCATATAGCGGGGGCTACAAGTGTGTGTCATCACACCTGGCTAATCTTCTTCTTTTTTGTAGAGACAGGGTCTCGGTCTTGCTCAGGCTGGTCTCAAACTCCCGACCTCAAGCAATCCTCCTGCCTCGGCTTCCCAAAGTGCTAGGATTGTAGGATTACAGGCGTGAGCCACCACATCTGGCCTTTCATGATTTTTTTTCTATTGTTTGTTACTCCCTAATCTTGTGGTTCCCCAACCCCTGGGCCTTGGATGGGCACCCGTCCGTGGCCCGCCAGTAACTGGGCCACACAACAGGAGGCAAGCGGCGCGTGATCGAGTGAAGCACCACCTGCACCCACAGCCGCTCCACATCGCTGGCATCACCACCCAAGCCCCAGCCCCCATCAGATCAGTAGCAGCATCAGACCCTGACGGGAGGGAGAAGCCCACTGCAAACCACACCTGCGAAGGGACCCAGGCTGCGCTCTCCCCATGAGAATCCACTGCCTGGCGATCTGACGTGGAGCTGAGGCCGGTCCCTGGTGGCAAAACCGTTGAGGACTGCTGCCTCATCCTAAGGCAATACGTAACTTGTTCAAAGACATCCCATAACCTAAGATATATCAAATTTTGTGTCAAGAATTTGGGGATTAACTGCCCAAACCATGGAGAGGGGATGAATACTGAAAAATACACTGTTATAAGCTTTTGTTGAGCTTCTTCAAAAAGAAGGGATAAGGCCAGGGTTGGTAGCTCACGCCTGTAATCCTAGAACTTTGGGAGGCCAAAGTGGGAGGATGGCTTGAGGCCAGGAGTTCAAGACCAGCCTAAACAACATAGAGAGATCCTGTCTCTACAAAAAAAAATAAAAACCAAAAAGAAAGAACAAGAAGAAAAAGAAAGAAAGAGAGGAGGCAGCAGAGGAGACAGTGATACAAAAGGCAAACACTGTCTCATGGAAAGTTGGTTGGTACCAAGTTTCTCTATGCCATAGTCTTTGGCCAACACTGCCTGTACAGCGGGCTTTGTTAGGTTTGGTCCTCTATCTTCTATAGTCAAAGTTCCCCATGAAGTCATACTCTAGACCAGGATTATAAATAGATTTTGCCTCATTTCAACCCCAATCAACAACATGGTTGTCTAGAATTCCATGTTGGGAGAATTTTCATAATCCTTTTGGTCTAACTAGAAAAGACACAGGATCGGTTAGTAATGTCTGCCATGGGCAAAGGAATGGTACAATGGCAACGATTCACACACGACAGCCCTGCTTGTTGCTCTGGCAGTAAAACAGATCCACACCTAACTGATGAGCATGTCAAGGGCTATCCGAAAATATTTACCAAACTAAAGCACACAGGATCACAAAGAAATGAAGAAATTAAAGCCACAGCAAGCACTCCACTACTATTGAGAGAAATATCACCTTAGAAGTGGAAGAACACTCTCTCTGGACTATGTTTAGCATGGGAGAATCAAATAATGAAAAACTGCAATTAAATCTAGATTTGAATACTAGCTCTCCCAGCTGGGAGATCCTGGACAAGTTGTGCTTCAGTATATATTTTTTTAATCTAAACAAGGGTAATGATAATGCCTATTTCTCAGAGTTCTTTGAGAATTCCACATAGTAAAAAATGTAAAGTATTTATCTCCATCCTGGGCATGTAGTTGTCCTCATTATATTATAGCTCCCTCAATATTCATTCTGGGCAGCCATACAGTTAAAGAGCCCTGCTGATTGGGGATTAAACACACTGGGATTTAAACAGTATCCTTGGCCAGGAGGGAAGAACAAACACTGCTTGCTACACTTTGTCTTCCTGCCTGGAATGCTGGTGACTCTTTCCCTGAGAATGACAGTCCGTGAGATGTTTACTGGCGTCAATCTCAGCTGCTGCCAGTTTTTCACCACTGAAATAACGCTTCCCTTCCACCCTGGAGTCACAGCTGTACTCACTTTCCTTGCCAGAGAATCATGAGCCAACAGGCTAAGGGCGAGGCACTTTTCTCCATAAAGTTCAAACTAAGACCAGTGTATAACTAAAACACCCTGTCCCGAAGGGCCCCCGGGTTGTCCTGAGAGTGGGTCCCAGGCGGGATGCAGCCATCAGCAAAAGGCATGAGAGGGTGGGGGGCAGTCATGGGCAGAGGGGTGTGTGGTGGCCGCGGTGGTGGTGGGGAATGGAGGGTGCCTATGCAATTTTTTTTCCAAGTTTCTCCAAGAATGGGTAAGGAACCCTTGCGCTCCTGGTTCTCACCCAATTACCCATACCCAGTGGAGCCAGCACGCCGCGTCAGTTGAGACATTCAAAAGCACAGAGAAAACAGCAGGCTCACTGTGAACGTGCTGAAGTGGGGGATGCCCCAGAGTGTGCCAGCTAGGAAGACTGTCAAAGGACTACCCTCCCACAAGAGAAGAGTCGCCCTCTGCCAGAAGGCCAGGCAGCTGGACGCTCAGCCGTCGGCGTCAGCCGGGACTATTTTTAGCGGCCCCAGTCACTCACACGCGGAGTTTTACAGTCGGGTTTGGTAGATGAATCACTCATCTTGGGGCTCTCTGCTACCAGAATGGCCACAGTGGTAGTGACCATGTAACCCGGCCTGGTAATTCCCCTCTCACAACTCAACACAGAGCCCTGCGTCCCCAGTTTCTCAACCACACTCTGTTCATTTACCCAACCTCACGACTGAGTCCATTCGTCTGCCATTGAGGACAGGAAGCCAAACAGAAAAGCAAGCTTGGAAATGGGAGTACGCTTTCGCTAAGCACAAGGCAAGCAAACAAAGCCCAAGTCGACGGCAGTGGAGAAAAGTAGCAGAAAAGTCAGAAGGCAGTGGAGACAGACCCCTCACATTGGCCATGGCAGTAGACATGCTTTGGAGACCCTTTCAACACCTTCTTTAAAATAACTCGTGCTAATCTGTGTGGCTCAGGGGGCATGACCCTGGCCCTGCATTCTGTCCTCTGTCCTGGCCAGATTATACCATCCCAAGGTAGCAATGGGTGCAGGGATGAGCACGTGACCCAACTCAGGACACACCCAGCGCTCCTGGGGACCTCTGCTTGAGCTGTTGGGATGGATATATTCTGCTTCCTCACCATGATCTCCACCAAAAAGTGAGGACACCAGGCACCTCCTGGCATCTATTCCTGTCACCATTCATACTCAACATAAAGCCAATAGAAAGGGAACAGAGCCAAGAAAGGAGTAAGACTGAAAGAGTCCCAATACCATTGCTGAAACTCCTCCATCTACCCAGACCTGAAACACCTACGACCAATCATTTACTTCTGTGTGTTTCAGCCAGTTTAAGCTCGATCTTTGACTTCTGCACCCAATATAACCTTGACTGATGTGTCCATTTACAAAGCTCAGATAATGTGAACTGAAAACGAAAGATCAAATGGAGGGGGGAAAATGCACCAAATCTCAGAACTGCTTCAAGTTATGTCATCTTGGCAAATCACCCAACCTTCCTGAGCCTCAGTTTACTTATATGCCAAGTGGGAGAAATCCCAGGATCCTGCCACCCACACAGGACATGAAGAGGGGCTTTCTAGAGAGCGAGGCAGTGAGCAAAGTGGGCACCATTTATAGTACATGACACAGGGCAACCAGAGGAGGAAGGAGCCACACAGCGCAGCAGGGGCGCCGAGATCTTGGGAGCACAGATCACCTTTTTTCCTGGCTTGCGAGATGAGGTCAGCCGCGCTCTTGCTCATGACCTTCGTGATGTAGAGAGGGCAATTGGTTTGGCTGGCGATGGTGATGGCACGGAACACAGCCTCAGCTTCCAGCTGCAAAAAGAAAAAAAAAAAGTCCCCGGGAGTTAATAGGAACATAAGCCTCTCCAACCTGCCACTCCTCCGCCTCAACAAGCGGTGAGAATGCTGCGCTGCACAGGAGCGAGCCGGATCTGGAATTGGACAGCCTGGGCCCACATCTCAGATCTACCACTTCCCAGCCACGTGACCTTAGCTTTGCAGTGCCTCCACACCTCACCGGGAAAAAGAAAAGTACAGCACAGGGTTTCTGTCTGAGAACAATGCCTGGCACAAAGTACACACTCACTGTTAGCTAGAGTTTTCCTTAGCCCGCAATCTCCTCTCCCTGTGGTCACCACCAAGGCTGTGTCTTGCTCCCCAGTCTTCTCAGGCCAGACTCTCTCAGGAATCACAATCACAACACAGCTATGCTATGGATGCTATGGACACCAGGCGCCTCCTGGCATCTATTCCTGTCACCATTCATATTGAACATAAAGCCAATAGAAAGGGAACAGAGCCAAGAAAGGAGTAAGACTGAAAGAGTCCCAATACCATTGCTGAAACTCCTCCATCTACCCAGACCTGAAACACCTACGACCAATCATTTACTTCTGTGTGTTTCAGCCAGTTTAAGCTTGATCTTTGACTTTTGCACCCAATATAACCTTGACTAATATGTCCATTTACAAAGCTCAGATAATGTGAACTGAAAACGAAAGATCAAATCCTTACTACTAGTAGTAAGGGCAACTGAGCATCACGGCACCTCAAGTCCTCTCCTGCGGCAATAGTCAGCAAAGGGTTAATTCTCGGAGGCATTTCTTATACAAAAATAATTCCCAGGTTTCTCAACACAAAGACTTCTTTTATTATTGATCTCTCCCACCCCACCCTAATACAGAATTCATGCTTTCAAATATGCTAACCAACACAGTTGCATTTATTAAGTAAGAAGTAGTAAGTTTTCCCTTATTTTATTAACAAAGCAGGATCTGAGAGCTCAGGCAGGCTGTCTCAGATGGCCCGGGTCTGAGTCCTGGTTCTAGCACTTATAAGCTGGGTGACCTCAGGCGCGTTGTCACAGTGCCCTTGTCTATAAAGCGGGGATAAGAATAAGACCTGACACCTCGGGCTGTTGTGAGGATTAAATGAGTTAATCCTTGTAAAGCAATTAGCCCATTTCTGGGACAAGGCAAGTGTTCCTTGAAAGGTAGCTGTTGATCTTGTTGCAGATCACAGTTTCTGATCAGTCGAGTGTCTGTGTTACTACCCAAAGCCTTAGTCCAATTCAGCCCAGAGCAGAGACGTTGGCATTTTTCCATTGAATCCACAACAGTTCCTTTTTGTATGGCTATGACATTTTGGTTAGCTTGCAGAGCCTAACACTTTTAAATATTCCAAAAATAGCTTGCAGATGCCCAGTGGTTGTATAATGCAAACCAGTCACTGCTGGTGGAGGGTGTGGCTCAAAAGACAGACTCTAAGAACTTGGCTGGCCGAGCTGGTCTCCCCCAAGCTGCACTTTGTTCCATGTGGACAAAGCCCTGGAGGTGAATGCAGACACCTTCCTGAAGCACCCAGACTTCTGTACTCCAGAGTGGAGTGGCTGTCTCTGTTCTTTGGGTCCCAGTTCTCTGAACAGCATTACTTGAGATGGTATCTGGTGTGCTTTGAACTGGAGAGGAGCTGGCTCCTCCCATGCTCATTCCTCCCCCCTCACGCCCATGCTGACCACTTGAGCTCCTCTGGGACCCCTGTCCTGGTCCCTTTGATCTCATCTCCCCCACCCCCACCCCAGCACTGCAGGTTTTTCAGCACTTTGACAACATGACTATCTTTGGAAGGTTACATCACCCTCCAACTTCACCCAAAAGGGCTTCTAGGGCTGTAGAGGTTTGCAGCCGAGAGGCTTTTTTACTAAAAAGGAGACGGGAACAGGGAGGAGGGTGGGGTGGTAGGGTTAAGGGGAGGTTGAAAAAACAAACTGAGGAACAAAAATAGACTTTGTTCTGAAATCCCCTGGCTGCTGCTGGAAGTCTGTCTTGCCAGCACATCTCTACAGTGACCGGCATTTAAGAAAAGTCTGACAAACGGTGCTGATCACCCTGGCCTGTTCACACTGGGTAAACAATTTTCCAGTCCTTCAAAGTGATGGGCCAGTGGCTTAACTTCTCTAAGCTTCGGTTTCTTTACCTGTACAACAATGCCACCCACCCAGAGTACCAGCAAGGACAACTGAGATAACGCATGTATTTAGCCCAGTTCTAGGTATAAGCATTTCGTAGAAGGGATCAGGTATTATTAAGGAGACAGACTTTTCAGGAATGCTGTGTGTGACTGGAACCCCAATCACAAAATTATAAATTATTTCAAATGGCAACAAAAATATCACTAGACACAAAGCAGTTTCTGAGGTATTGATAATATTCTATTTTACCAGCTGGATGCTAGTTATACAAATGTATTCAGTTTGTGAAAATTCATTGCATCCTTATGATAACACTTTTTAAAAATATGTGTTACACTTTAATTTTAAATAAGACTCTAAAAGAGATGGGCAATGGGAATGCAGTCATATCTGGTTCTCATTCCTTCTTCTACCTGTTGAAGAGTTTGGAATGACAGGGCAGGAATAGGATTCGTCTCACTAACATGAAGGGTCTTTAATTCACTGCAGGTGCCAGGCCCAGGCTGCATTTCCAAAGCCAACTTGCTCTCAGCCATATGGACAGCCAATTCCCAGCTCTGTGCCTCATGCCAGCAGGTGAAGTTGCCAACATCCCAGAGACATGGAACCAACCACTAGCTACTTTTTACTCGCTGTTTGGCTGCTAAGCACAGATGCAAATCATCATTCCTTTTACGTGTACCTGATGTAATCATCACCTTAAGCAAATTTGACAGGCATAATAATGCCCATAAAAAAGCCCATTCAACCTCCTATCCATATGGCCAATATTTTGTAGGACTCAAAACATAATATGAAATAAGGGAATAAGTGAAAATTCTCTGAGATTCACACCCATTAAGAAAGGAATTAGAAATTTAACACTCCCACTGAATAGCTGCGAAGGACACTCTAACTTGTGTTATTTTTAGAGAGATTAGGGATGAGAAGTAAGCATTCCCTTACATTCCTTTCTAATTTTCTCATGGGCTCTTGAGCTAGGGTCAGGCAGAAGTGGTCTTTGAAACAAATGTCCCAACACTGCTATCTGGTATTCCTAGATTCTCAGCACCTTTTGGCGATGTGTATTCCTATGTAGTGTGTGCACACGGCTCAGGAAGCTAGGCCAACACAAAGACTCCAAACCCAAAATGAGCGGCAGGCCACAGCAAGGCTGCGGGAACTGTGATGATAGGAGGCTCCTGGAAGATGCTGTTAAGAATCGAGTCCTCCTGTCTCTCCCTCCCTCCTCCACCCTTCACCTCCACCCCCCTGCAACTTACCTCCTCTGGTCTGCTCAGTACATGGCCTTCTGGGCCAGTTATTCCCATCTCCAACATGCGGGATTGCTCCTAGAATGAGAAAAGAATAGAAAAATAGTTCTTAGGTAAGCTCAGCTGAGGTTTGGAAAAAAATCACACTAGAATGTTCTGATCTAAAGATGTACCCAAGGGAAAAAAAGAATGAAAATGTGTATATTGAACAAATGTATTAATTCTATATTTGGAGTTGCAACATAGGGCAGTCTTAACCAAAAGGTGGAGAAAAGCATTTAAGAGTGAGTTGCTTTTATTAAAAGGAAGATTTATTAGTGTATACCTTTTTTTTGTCTGCCTTACCCATCAAAAGTCACATAAGTTCACTTATTCTTCATCTCTCTCAGACCCATCTACCTCTGAAACTATACTTGCTTAACTCGTTTCTTTATTCATGCATGCACTTTAAACTCATTCATTCTGCAAAATGTATTGAGTATCTGCTTCACGCTAAGCTCTGGGGTTAGTACTTGAATTACAGCAATGGGGCCTCTGACCTCATGGAGCTTACGGTTTAGTGCTATGTTTCCCAGAGTGTGGGCTGCCCACCAACTACATCAGAATTCACCTGAGCTGATTTTGTAGAAATACAGATTTATGGTTCTATCCTAGCCTACCAAATCCAAAGATGTGAGGTTGAATCCTAACAATCTATAATTTAATAAATCTCTCTGAGGGTTTTATGGTTTAAATCTTTGGCTTAAATGAATGGATTCAGAATTTAACCAGACAAATAATGTCTCTAAACAGCATTACCTAAGTTGGGTTTTGGGCAAATTCTATTTAACCAAGTTGTGGATAGAAACACCTCATGGCTGATGGCTAAACTCCTCAGATGCTGGCCAGCTTTCTGGAAAAAGCAGGTGGCTGGGTAGTGAACACATATATGCACTAACTGGAATTGGCAGAAGTTCTAAGTTATCATATCTGCAGTTTTATTGGCTTTCACTCTCAAATTACTAAGGCTAGTTCCTATGAACCTCTGTACCAGCAAGCCTGGCCCAGTGGCCTGGGAGTATTTTGGTAAAATGGGAGACGCCAGAGAGATGGTGAATAGAACAAAGCCTTGTCTCACTCTGAAACTATGAGGTGTTCAGAAAGGAAAGGATTCTTACCACCTGGAAAAGAAGAACCTTTTTGGTTTTTGTTTTTAATAATACAGATTTCTAAAAGAGAAGAAGGGAGGAAAATGCATATACTATGTAAGCAACCACTATCTCCAGCTCTACAGAATTAAAAAAACAAAAATGTCAGAGGTTGAATTTTCCAGCAATGCACCCCTACTTTTCATTCTCACTGCTCTCACTTGTTGAAACTTGAACTGAATTAAATTTCTTCCAAACTCTAGTGAGTTTCCACTCTAAACTGCCTCAGGTCCCACAAGGGTTAAGGTCTCCAACTAAAGCATCTTTTGTCTTATACGACACTCTCAATTCTGTCTTGTTCAAGTGTGCCAGGATAATGGCAGAGGACAAAGTTAGCTCGAGCAGTGGTTTCCAAACACATTCAAATCACCAAGCAATATTTTCAAAATACACTTGCCTGAACTCTACTACTGGACCTACTACTGAATCAGAATTTCTGGAATTAGTAAAATCTAGTGATTTCAATGCATTGTTCATGTTGGGAAGACCTATTCTAAAGCCACGGTGTCCCTACAGCTGGAAGGTTAAGGATGGCATGTAAAGCCCCGTGGCTGCTACCTCACATGGGGGCGGGTAGCAGTGGGCACTTTGTGGCACTCATCACAGCTACAATTAATTACATCATAGTTTGTGTCATGGCACGACTGTGGCTTGCTCCATGGTGAAAGGGACCCTGCCTTTTTCATCTTCCCTAAGACTTTGAAAGACTTCCCTATACTTGAGTATCGGTGCTCAACAAATAACTGTTAAACGAATGACTAAAGATTCTGCACTCTCAGACTGTCTCATCAACTTGAGATTTTTGAAAACTGCCCTTGTTTGTACCGGAAGGGAAAGATTTCTTCTCTTTAGTCACTTTCAGCAGGAAACTCTGAGCACAGCAGCTGCCTCTATTTAGACAATGTGATAAAAATCTTTCAGCTCAAGCTGAATTGAATAAACACACACAAGAAACTCATCCAAATGGAAAAGTGTCCTTGCTCTTTTCCCGACTGAGAACAGTCTTCCCAAGGTAAGGGAAGGGTGGGGGTTGGGGGAGGAGGGGGACCAGAGAAACTTCTGTGCTAGGGAGCCACAGGAGGAAAGAAGCTGAGAAAAGGGGCTTTGAGTTAGTGTCCATTTGCCTCCACGGGGGCTCGAGTGAAGTGGCAGGGACTTTTTGGTTTCCAGGGCAGCTGAAGGCAGGACTGAGACCTGTGGCTGCTGCCCTGAAAATGTGGAGAAGGGGGAGGATTGCAGCTCTAACACCACCAGGGCACCTCCCGTGGGAACAAGGCATGTGGGCCGTCTATGGAAAAGGACCTCATTATCTCTGGGTGTGTGGGGGACGTGGCCAAAGGTGCTGTCAGGGGCCTGACTAATTAGCCTCGTTGGTCACAGAGGAAACTGCATGCTTAGCTCACCTCCTCCACCAGCGAGACAACACACACAGTCTGAGATCACCACAGCTGGAGCCCTATACCCCTGGGGCACTGCCTCCTGGGGGGGCGGCGGGGGGGCTGTGGCTAGGCTTGGGGAACAAGGGACCCAGATACACCATCTCTGGGCAAAGATGCCCACTGAGGCACATTGCCTTAGGGGCCAAGATTAGGTTCTCCCAGTTATCTGCTGGGACCCATGGGCCAGTGACCTAATTCTTCTGAGCCTTGATGTTCCCATCTATGAACAGGGAGGATGATGGCATCCTTAAAGGGTTGGGAGAAGATTAAATGAGAATATACTAATGCGACGAGGGTCAGCCTATACATTCTTCCCATACCCCTGCTGACCACTCTCGCCTGAAGCACAGCGCAAGTGTTTGTGCGCTATGGAATGCATCTGTTTTGGCTCACCTCAACCGTCTGGTGCCTGGCACAAAGTGCTCAGGAAATACTCTTTGAAAGAATGAATAATGGTTTCTTGCCGTTAATGTTATCAAATGGACTAAGAAAGCTCACTCTTCTTTTATGGCTCTCTCCTCCCAGCAGAGGCCAATCCTGGATGTTTCTGAGATAAACAAAACCCTTCCTAAGATACATCTGTGCATCTATTCCATTAAGCAGCCCAGGAGATGGAGAGAGAACTGCTTTCTGCTTCCTTACAAATGACCGATTTGGGCCTTGGGGCCCTCACTTCCATCACTCTTTCCTTGAGTTTCTCAATATGATTTCTAGGAAACCAGTGGGGCATCTGATCCCCACGGGACTTAAATTCTTTATTATCCAAGACTGTGAGTTCCACAGACCTGGATCGATTTCTGGCTTTTGAGATATGCTGCCTTCGGCTTTTTCTGTAGAAGAGAGAATGTTCCATAGCTTTGACCCATTTCAGAAGACGAACAGGAAAGCTGTCCCACGAAATGGCCCAATTTGAAAACCTCCTCTTCTGGGACACCTTTTCTGATTCTCCAGAATGGCCAGATCTCTTCCTGTTTTACACCATCTTCTAGTTCCTCCTGGTTAATCTACATTGCCCCTCTTTTCTTCCTACACCTTGAGGTTCTTTAGGGCAGGTTCTAGCTTCGGCAGGGTCCTTAGGGCTGTGCCCCACGCATATCAAGAGTTCAAGCAACACTGAAGAAATGAGGAAACAAACTGGGTGCAGACCTAAGTCTGTGCAGAAAGCTCACTCCAGGGAGCTGTGTGGTATTACCTGGGCAATGATATCCCCGTTCTCAGCATGAACTTGAGCAATGGCCCCCAGCTCTCCCAGGCAGGTGAAGATCTCATAGAGCTGAAATAGAAATTAGTCTTTGTCACACCTTGGCAAGTCACTTTAGCAACTATAGAAATATAGACTAAAATTATGCATGAACAAAGAAAAGTGCTAATCCAAACAAATTCTTGGAAACTTAGTCTACATAAAGAACCTATCATGTCTCTTAGGCAGACAGAACAAATACATAACAAAGTACTACCAACCCCTCTCCTCTGCTTCTGGTACACATTTTCAATGGAATTATTTTCCCACTGAGCTGAGACAGAGCTTCAGAATCCTTCTCAACAAGTGTTCCAGAAAGCCACTACAGGCCAACCAGAAGTTAATATGAAAGTTGAAGCTCTTATCTCTTAACCTCTCAAGATAGCCATAACTTTACTTCCTAACCAGGAAGCATAGGAATTAATTTCTTGCATTTCCTCTGAAAACCTGACCTTTGTCTAAAACAAACAAATGCCAGGAATTTCTTAGGGAGAGAGTCAGAGGCAAGCTGGAATGGTTACTCCAAATAGCAGAAAAGTCCTTCTGATCCCGCAGGGTGGAGAACCTCACATTGGAGCTTCTGAGGGGTTTGAAGCCTGTGCAATAGATGGAGATTTAGGCATGCCCTCCCTCTTACCCTTTTAAGAAAGCAGCCGCCAGTGGAAATTCTAGCTCCCTGTCTGCCTTGCCACCAGCACTCTGCCTGTTACCTTATTCAAAATGTAGCGTGAACTGCAAGGGCTTCAAGAAGCATTCTGGCCCAGCAGTCTTCCGCAGTGACCACAGTGACTCATGTTACAAGGGCCAAGGTCATCAACAACAATAGGAAACCCATCCAGAACCCCAAACCACACAGCAAATGGGTTGTTACCTCTGTGTTGGACACTTGATACAAATCCTTATAGGCCATGTAAACCATGAAGGAGTTAACCCCTGCAAGAGACAGAAGAGAGGAAGAATAGGAGAAAGACATTATCACAATCGCCCACCCTCCCTCCTTTCCTCCCTCTTCTATTGCCCATGGGGCCCAAGCACATCACCCAGGCTGCCATCTAAAATAAAGCAGATGCTTTGCTTTCTCCAAGAACATTTTACTCTGCCCACCCCCAGCCAATAAAGCAAACAATTCCTAGTGATAGCATAGCAAAATGGTCTCTTCTTCTGCACCTCTTTCTCACCTCCCCCTTCCAGCATTCCCCAGCCCAGAAGGTCCACAAACTTTGATACTCTTGAAGGCAGGAGATATAACTGAGAATCACTCTAGCATGCTGGTTGTGTTCACACACACTGGGGGGTTGCACCCATGGAATCCACCACATACTAGTTCAGTGAGTTTAGGATACTTAACCTCTCTGGGCCTTGGTTTCCTTATGCACAAGATGGAAAAATAACAATACCCTGCTTCACAAGGTGGTCGTGAACATTAAAAGAGGTAACACATACAGAGATCTTAGCACCAGGCCTGGCGCATATTTGGTCCCCACTAATAGGTTTCCTAGGATCTGTTTCTTTGACTGTTTGACAAATGCCTGCCCTGCACTAGGCCTGTGCAGAGAACTAAGACGCACACCCTGTCCTCAGGGAACGGGCAGAGCTAATGGGTGGAAGGCAAGTTTCGTCTTGTGCTTAGACATCTAAAGTCTTAAGAGTTATAAGGAAAGAGCTATGTAATTTTCACCTAAAATAAACTATTAATATAGTGATTTACAGAAATAGGTGGAACTGGGGAACAGAGATTCATTTTAAGGAAAGGAGGATAATTTTGGTCTCAAACCATTAGGGCCATCTCAGCCCACAGTGTTCCAAGGCCAAAAGTGGGTTGTAATCTGAGAACTTCCTTGCCCAGAGTGGTTCAACTCAGGGCAGTTTTTCCCAACACTACCCTTCCCAAAAGCCTCTGCACCATCTGCGTAATGACCCAGGCCCTTTGAGAGGGAGGTGGGTGTTAAAGCCATTCAATTTTCCACTCCAGGTGAGATGCCCAGTGTAGAAGAAAATAAAAATACAGAAAAAAAGGGAGGAGGTTAATGTCACATTCTGTGTCACCAAGGACTGGGCAGGGCTTGTGGGTTAAAGGAGGGATTTGGAAAGAAAAGCTCATCTTCTCAGGGGTAATCCTTTCCCCTCCAAGCCAGGTGCACTCTGTTCCACTGCACTCCCAGCCTTGTGTCTAGACTACTCATTTGATAACAGTTCTTGCATCTTGTGGCATTTTTTTATGTTGTTCTTCATGGGCCTGCCTCCTTTTGCCTTGGAAGCTCAGCAGAGCCCTTTATTCGCACTTCCCTAAGTCCCCCAGGCCACCTTACAATGCTGAGCACATTGCACCTATGTGTATATGTATGGGGGGGAGTGAAATATCTGATGATCAAAACGTAGAAAGAAGCAGAGAACAGAAGAACGTAGGAAAATAGAACCTAAATCATGTACTCACTGAGAGGACGAACACACACACACACACACACACACACACACACACACACACACACTCGTTTTCTCACCCTAAGCTCCTAGCCTGCATAACAACACATCCTTGCTCTTGGGAATGTCTTAGCCTTTTCTCAAGATGCCATTGTTATAGTAATGGTTTGGTCTCTGGAGTAAAAACAATAGGGGTTAAAAATCCCCGATCTCATTATTGACTAGCCATGTGACCTTACGTAAGTAAGTTACACTTTCCTAACCTCAGTTTCTTCCTCTGCAAAACGGGCAGTTAGGTGAAGAGTATAGAGTTTGGATAGATCTACAGCTTCCTAACTCTGTGACCTTGGGCTACTTATGCTGAGCCTACCTTTCTCCACCTGCAAGTGGAGATAGGAATGACAATCCCTATCTCACGGGGGGGGCGGGGGGGGACGCTGTCAGGAGTAAGACTGCGTATGTAAAGTGCCTGAAGCACAGCAGTGTCCCTACATCCAGTATTTATGCTCAAGGTTCCAGGCCCCAAGCAAGGGAAAGTGACTCAAATTGAGTGGATGGTGCTGGAAGGATAGGCAGGGAGAAGCTAGGGGAGGAGGGAAGAGGGTATGTTTGGGCTCACCTTTGTCCTTGATGAGGTTCTGCACTTCCTGCTTGATGCTGTCGTTCCAGTGGGTGACGTCCACATGCAAGGCATAGTCACAGCAGCTCTTCCCATCGGCCCACTCTCGCCACTTCTCATAGGCCTCAGTCAGGCTGGACTCGGGCTCGGGCACCACGTGGTCAACTGCATGGCAGAGGCTCCAGGTGGGTGACTCAGACACAGCCTTTGCTCCCCTCTACTCAGGCCCGCTCCTGCTTGCTTAGCTGTGACTACACAATCTTTATTTCCTAAGCATGGAATTAACCTGGTAGTTTCGAGGATGCTGATAATTTAAATGTCAGTTAGCTATGTGATTTGGGACAAATTACTAGCTCCTCTAAACCTCAGTTTTCTCTCCTTAAAATGGGTGCCAAGTGGACTGGGGACAGGGTATAATAGTGCCTTCCTCCAGAATTTGCTGTAAGATTAAATGGGAAAAACGTGCCAGGCGCGGTGGTTCACGCCTGTAATCCTAGCACTTTAGGAGGCTGGGGCGGGAGGATCGGCTGAGCCCAGGAGTTCGAGACTAGCCTGAGCAAGAGGAGACCCAGTGTGTACGAAAAATAGAAAAATTAGCTGGGTGTGGTGGTGTGTGCCTATAGTCCCAGCTACTTGGGAGGCTGAGGCAGGAGGGTCACTTGAGCCCAGGAGTTTGAGGCTACAATGAGCTGTGATCACCCCACTGTACTTTAGCTCCGGGTGACGAAAATAAAGAAATAAATACATACGTACATAAAAATGGGCAAATGCATGGAAAGTGCTTCGCCTGATGCCTGGTTTATAGCATGTGCTCAATAAAGGTTAGCTATCAATGAGTGGCTGCTATGGGCTATTATTACTAGTGCTAGGGGTGGTCACTGCTGGTGATAAAAGTCAGGCTCTCTTCCAAGGGTGGATGGAGGGGGTGTTAAAATTATATCAGGTGCAAGACATGCAGGGCCTCTGCTCATTGCCACAGGAAAGAGCTGGCGTCAGATAAGGGAATCTGACTCTCGGGCTCACAGGTCTTCTTTCCATGAAACTTTTTGTTAAGAATCTGGTTTCCTTGAGGCCCAAACTTGTTCTTTCACCTACAACCCTGGATGATATTTTAAAAAATAATAGCATCTATAGTTGGTGAGGATCAGGCAAAAGTTACACGTTCATAGTTCCTCTGGGCAGCTGACGCAAAGTGTGAATTGGTACAACTTTCCTGAGAACAATTTTGAAACAAAGGTCAAAAACCTAGACATTTTTCATACCTTAACCCAGGAATTAGTCCCATGCCTGAGAATTTTTCCTATGGAAATAAATGAGGCTGTCCACAAAATTTTAGTTCTGAGAATGTTTGCCACTGCAAACATTATTTATATATACTTACACGTGAAAAACTGGAAACAAGTGAAATCTTTAACAATAGGGAAGTTTGGTTAAATACGTAAGTCACAATGCTTTTGTAAAATGAATGACTAGAAATTCATTTTAAATGTGTGGTAGAATAAAAATAAATGAATGGAACAATATGCATGACATCCATAACATGTTATTTAGTGAGAATGGCAGGCTAAAATACAGTTAAGTGCATACAATATACTATTATCCTATTTTTGTTAAATAAGAAAAAAAATAGGTACAGAATAGATAGCCGAAATCTAACAGTGATGTGGGATTATAAGGTTTCTATTATATCTCTAGGGTTTCTAACTTATCTACAAAGGACAGGAACACTTTTGTGGCTCTTTGCATGCTTTACTGTCTTGTCACTGGGAATTCTGACTTTCCTCCTGCTCCTTCCCTGATGTGGAAGACCAAGCATGATGTGAATCCCAAGGATACTGAACAGGTCCAACTCCTTGCCTAGGTGGCAGAAAGCCAAGCCAAGATCGCTCATTTCCGCTGCCTTCTGTCAAGGCAGCCCAAGTGCACTTATCAGAAAGCAAATGCATGGAGCTGCATTACTAATGTCTGGATCCACACCAGGGCTTTCGTGGGCAGGCAGCTGTGGGAAAGTCAGCTGGCTTCCCCTCCTTCAGCTGCAGAAAAGCTTGGTTCTGCCTGAATTGCACCTTTTATGGCCTTCCACACCCAACTAGCTGAAGCTGAACCCTGCTGCTGCTCCCGTCAAAAGGACACAGCAGACAGTGGCTAATTCAACGTCTCGGGCTGTACTGTGCTCTCCAGTGGGTGTAAACGTTGTGAAAATAAACAGTGCTCTGGCTGACCAAGTTTGGGGCCAGCACTGGGATGGGACCCAATGCATCGGGATTCCTTCGGGACAGGAAAGACTGCCCTGGAATGCTATCGGTCAGTAACCCAATGGTATGCAACTCCCTAGGTTTCTTTGGAATTGCAATAGTTACCAGAAACAAACAAATAAATAAATAATAAAAAAAAAAAACACAAGGGGAAGCACTGCCACAGTTTTGCCTAATCTTAAAGATGAATTGGTCAAAATGCGGTACAGACCAGATAGCACTAAACATCACTGAAGCCCACTAAATTCCCAAGAAGTTGAGTCTCCACTATCACTCTCTGGGATTCTCCTGAGCCCCATTCACGGTGCAGTGCTCTGCCGTGCACTCCGCCCCCTCCTCCTTCAGACCCAGGCTCGCAGTTTTGAAATAACTTTTTGTCCACTGTCCACTTTCCCCAGTGACCAGCCCAGAGATGACATTTGCAGATTGCCCACCCACTGCAAGAGCCAGCTCCTGCTGCTGCTGAGGCAGACAGGACAGGACAGGACAGCTGCTTTCATGGCCAAGAGCCTCATGAACCGCCTCTGTGCAGTCTCGGGGAGTTGCCCATTTCCTGTTTTTCTCAGCCCCATTAGGCAGAAAGTCTGCAGACTTAACTGAGCGAAGTGTACAAGTTATCATGAGGGAGCTGTGGTTAACGTATTCGCTGAACACACATGCCTGTGGGGCACAGGGGTGTGTAAAATCTGAAGACTTACTGATCATGGTGGTGCCACCTGCTAGGGCCGCCTTTGTCCCTTGGAAGAAGTCGTCCACTGTGGTCATTCCCTTGTACGGCATCTGGAAGTGAGTGTGGACATCGATGCCTCCAGGAATCACCATCTTCCCGTTGGCTTCGATGGTCTTCACTCCTCCAGGGACGATCAGATTGTCTCCAATTTGCCTGGAGAGACAGTGAAATAACTGGTAATTTAAAAGAGCAATTTCCATTATAAACAGAGTGCTACAAGGATTTTAAACAGTGATACTAATATTTGTCAAAGTAACTTTTCCAAGTGACTCACAAGTTTATCTATAAAAAAAAGATATATATACAGAAAACAATTTTATAGACACAGAACAATCTGATATGTCATTTGGTGGGACCCAGTGTCCTGGCTTAGTACTGTAACCCCAGCGGTTTGACAGTATCTAGAATACAGTGTGTGTTTGGTAGGTATTTTTTAAAAATAAGTGTTTTTATTATTCCTTTCATTTTGTTCTTTATCTGAGTTAAGGGTAAGGAATAACATTTGGAGAAGGATCTAAATAGTGCAAAACAATGGACTGTTAGGAGAGACTGAAGGAAGTAATGAATCATTTAAAGAACAGGTGTGGGAACTTTAGCCACCTTCTAAGCAGATTTATCTGTGCTCCTGAGAAAAGGCTTTTGTCTGGGTCATTTCCCACCTCAGTCTTCACTCCCAATTCCACCCTTCCTTGAAAATCTATCCAGCCAATCATAGCTGACAGCAGATTGACAAGGAGGAAGTCAAAGATGCAGATGCCTCCAGCACCAGCTGCTTTTATGTGGTCAGCGTCCTAGTAGAAGCTTTAAGCCAAGGAACGTGATCGTGACAACCTGTACAAGACATAGCTTCACCCAGGAGGCTTCAGAGCATCTCAGGGAGGAACAAAGGGGAGACTCAAGTGGAAATTAAACCAATGAGGACCTCAAAGGCACATCTTACAAGGAAAGTGACACATATTGCTAGTTCCTACACGATTTTACTTACAGATCATGCAGTGTTGCTTGGTTAATATGTGAAATCACATTCTTGGTTTAAACAGCTGGTCAAACCCATTCACTATGGATTCCTGGTAGACCTAGGATTCATAAGTCTATTACCATTAAACATCTCCTACCTTGGGGATATATGTACCCTAGTGCCAGTGGCAAGAGCACTTCCCCCTTTTGTTTGGCCAAGAAAGACACTTTCCTGGGGCAATGAGAGGTCCACCACTGGCCTGCCAAAATTCTGCAACCAAAATAAAGTATTCCTGACATCTCTAAGAGCCCAACTTTACCACATCACCACTGGGACTTTCCAAGGCCACAATTCAAAACACACTGTGGAAACAATGCAGCTTCTGGTCATAATTCTATTCGAGTCCAGACACTGGCCAGTTCTGCTTCTATTTTCCTCCCTCGCTGGTTTTCCTCTAAGGGAAATTGAGAACCAAGGGCATGAAGAAATCCCTGGCCTATGTGTATGTTCATGTATGTGTGTTTTCAGCCATTTCAACAACTAGCTTAATACTGAGTGTGAAACAGAAATGCCTTCCCTCTCTTTCTCCAGTGCACAGATCAATGTGATAGTCATTTGTGAAGGCTCAGCTTCCATCTCCTCTCCTTCGTCAAGCTTCTGCTGACAGCCCAGTCTAATAATTAAGAATGTGGCTGTGCTCTGGATGTGGGCTATCTGGATTCACAATCTTGGCTCTGCCAGTTACTAGCTCTATGGCCTTGGCCAAGTTACTTAACCTCACCAGGACTCAATTCTTTCATCTGTAAAATGTAATAAAGATGCCTCCTCCCTGAGGTTGTTGTGTAGATTGCATATGAATTTATGTTAAGCCAATAGAATTGTTAGGCACCAAGGAATCCAATAAATATCAGCTATCATAATTAATAACCAGTTTTCTTTCTCCTTTGAATCTCATCTCTTCTATTAATCTAATACTTGATATTGCCTCTACTTAATGTTAGGTCCTTTGCACATATATACAGGGACTGCAGTTCCCCTAAAAGACTGTAAGGTCCCCAGGGGAAGACAGCATGATGATCTGTCTGGCACAGCCTGAGTCCAATATCCTACACAACTACAACTGCATGGTACACAGGAAGTACTCCATAAATATTCACAGACAGACCAACAGCTATGTAACAGTGGGAGGAAATTATTTCTGTTCTTATGCTCTGTGTGTGTTAAGAATGTTGTTGGTGATACACTAAATTTCAGGATTGGATGAAGATCTCATTTATCCAACCTTCTCTCCTTCACCAACATACACATTTGACGGTTAAAGTCCTTCTGTAACATCCTTGGCAAGTGGCCTTCCAGTCTCTAATAGAGATGGCAAACATTGATTCATCTTGCACATTCAACTCCGGCAGTGGATGCCTAAAGCACTGTGTGATCAGTTCATGATGCCTACCATGAGCTCTGAGATGAGGAGGAAACATTTTATACTAAATTTTCCCCATCTCTGAAAATCGCTAAGTAAGGGGACTTGGTACCTTCAAATAGAACCATCTCTATATAATTTTTTAGTAATAGAAAAATATAAAATCAATTGTGGCTTATATTTCAAAGAAATTATTGGTTTATATTGTTTGGCTTGCATATTATTTCCATTTCTCTTACTTCTAATGTGAAAAAGTAATAATGTAAATTGGCAAGGCAACTATGAACAAATGTGTTCATTCTTATATTCATTCATTCATTCATTCTCGCTCATTTTTTCAATGTCTTTGACTAATAGGTTGACCTGTAGCAATTTATTTACGCTCTCTGTGCCTCTTTCTCCTCATCTGAGAAAAGACAGTCATAACAGTATGATACTTAATTAATAGCATTGCTGGCTGGTTGAATGAGATAAAACGTGTAAAATATTTAACACAGTGCCTGGCACATACTACACAATGAAAGGTAGCTCTTGTCAAATCTTTACGTGCTAAGTATCGGACTGGGTTTAGCTGTTGGGGATAGGGAGATGGACAAGATATGATCTTTGCTCTCGAGGGGGCCTAAGAGTGTCAGAATTGCTATGACTGAGAGGAGCTCAGGGTGTTTTGACAGCACGCGGAAGAAGAAGCTAGCCTAGATTTGACACCTGGTAAAGAACAATCTGCCTGCAAAAAATTCGATCTATGCCAAGTTTTCAAAAGATAAGTAAAAGAGCGCCTATAAACCCAAAACTTTAACTAGCCAATGAAGTTCAATATAAAAATAAAACTGTATTACAGAACACGTTCTTACATTTAGGAAAAAATAAGAATAAAAAATAAAAAGAAAGTAATTATTTTAAATTAATTTAAAAAAAATAAAAATAAAACTGAATAAGGCCAGAGGTGGCTAATAAGATGAGTTGGATACACAAGTCCCACATAACAACTTAGCAGTGTGGTGGTGTACTGTGCTTTATGTGGTGTAAGACTGTGTAAATCACATCCTGTGTGTAAGGAACCTACACATAGAAGTTATCTGGTTGTGTTGCTTATAGACATTCAATAGCAAAACATTTTGTAAAGTAATTATACATCCCTAATAAATCTATTTGGCAATTTTTTCTGAAATGCATGTCCTATCTGTGCCCTGCCCATCTAAGTCCTACCCTTATGTCAAGGTTCAGTTTTAATACCCTATCCACCCCCAAACCTTACCTCTAAGTAGATTTCTCCTTTCTGTATACTTCTAAATCACTTATCCTGATTTTTAACTCCTTTGATATCTATTACACAAGACCTAACATATTTAGGGTGTTGTAATTTGTGCACATTTTTCAGTATCCTTAAGGACAGTGGCCACATTTCCACTTTTCCATGACCCACAGAGTACCTATCTAGGCAGCTTACACAAAGAGGCCCCCAGGATCATTGTATTGATTGAATTCAGATTTTCTACTTCAGTCATGAAATCCGAGCTTCTTTCTGGGCTGCTAATGAAGAAAGGAAGTACAAAAAGATAAAGAGAAGGGTTCTATATACATACTTTATTAAGCCATCTTCCATGTAAATATCGGCATAAAAGGATTGATCATCGTTGACGATTCTGCCTCCCTTGATAAGGAGACGGTCACTCTGGAAAAGAAGGAAAACATGAGTCATTTTCACAGCTGGGATTTCAGAGAAGAGTGATCTGCTAAGGTTTCCCAATTCATTCTTTTACACCTCTAGGAGAAACACATTTACTAAAGACATCTGTCTGCTCAAGCACTCAACATTTGAACTAGGTGTACTTATTTGGGGATTCAGTCTTTCTTGTTTACCCCTAATTCAAATTATTATGGAGTTTGCTTACACTTGCACAGAGCTACTCAAGTAAGTGAGATACTCTTTATATTATCTTTTCTGGTTCAGTAGGCACTAAATACTTAAAATGGGATGACATATACTTCAGTGCCTAGCACACTGGTGCTCTGTTGACACTCATTGGTGATTCTTAAACATAGAGTTTAGGATTAGGTGTACAATGAAACAGGCTTTTAAAAATGTTTATAATGACATGAGAACATGCTCAGATCACGTTATGTGTAAGATCCAGGATACTTACATAGGTATGCACAAATGTACACAAAGTTATGAAATATAAAAGAAAAGCACTAGATGGAAAAAAATCCCCACAGTATCTATAATATTTCACTCATGGTGGAGAAACTATGCAGGATTTACATTTGCTTCATTATACTCAGTATTTCTCACATTTTCTGAGTGTATTTCTTTATTGTTTTTGTTATGGGCAAAATAAGGTCTTTTTAAAAGTTATATAACTGAGATGAAATGTGGGAAGTGATCCAATTGGAAACAATGCAAACATACTCCAAAGTTATTAACAAAATAAACATATTTTACATATAAGTCAGGAGAGGGATAGATCAGTGTCAGCGACAGAGATCACAGATTTCATTAAATGAATGGAGCTTAGACTGGAGTAGATGGGATGGATACAGCTTTGTTAGGTTCACAGGAGCCTGGCTGAGTGGAGCTACAGCATGAATAAATGGTAGGCTGGATTTTGTGATGAGTTCAACTTAAGAGACTTCAATTTCATCCATTTATCCATGTATCCACCCATCCATTGTTTATCCATCCACCCATTCAGCAAATAATTAATATTTATTATTAGGTAGGTGGGGAGAGTATTGTTGTAAATGGATCACAATAGGTCATTTCTTTTTATGGAACTTAAAAGGGGAAGTGTGGCAATAAAGAAATAAAAGAAATCAACAAAACAAATAAAACAATGTGAAATGGCATTAAGTCTCACAGAATATAGGGGAACGGGGTTTATTTAAATAGAGGCTGGAAAAGGTCTTTTCAAGGAAGAGATGTAGCTAGGGGTTGGAGAACTCCTGCAGGCAGAATGAACAGCATGTGGAGAAGTTCTCAGGTTGGAATAAGTTTTGGTTCTTTGAAAACCAGAAAAGGATCAATGTGGGAGGAGCTCAGGGTTCAAGGAAGAAAGTGGAATGAGATGAGGCTGGGGAGGTAGGCAGGCTAATTGTGCTGAGATTGATGAGAGTCTGGGTTGGAATGAAAAGATACTGAGACACATGGAAGGCTTGTGAGCAGAGGAGTGAAGAACTGTGTAAACAAGGCAGCTCTGATTGCACTGATCAAGGGGTCAAGGGCAGGAAGACTTCATATTCAGGGCTAATCACAATGATCATTCCCTTGACACTGATTCCCTGGTCCGTTTGAGAACACTAGCTTTCAAAGAAGATACAGGCTTTATGGAGAAGTGAGCCCCTCTGACAGGCTGACTCCTGGCTTCACGAATGAAAGGGACAGAAAATGAGAACAAAAGGTAGGGTCCCATGTGGGATATAGACAATTACCACTTAGCTTCTTCTGCTTCCAAGGTATTGCATAAGAATAATAATTTCATCATCACATATCATCAGGGGAAAAGATTTTTAAAAGATACAAATCAATGCGGTGTTTAGAAAAAACCTACATACGTGGCAAGGCAGATGTGCTAATGAGATCAAATACAAATGCCTGTGATATACAAGCCCCTCTTGCTCTGGTCTCTGTCAATATGACTATCGTCACTGCTATTATATATTGTCTCTGTATTTTAAGCAGTGGTAAAACAACAAAACATGCAGTTCTTGTCACATATCAGGCTCTCTGGCCACTAGGTCTTTGCAAAAAATGTTCTCTCTGTCTTCTCATATGTTCACCTGGCATCTAAATGCCATCTTCTCCTTTGTCAGGCCCCCAGGCAAAAGGTTTCTCCACCAAGATGCATCACCTGATTTTCTGGCAAATTTCACCCCCACTACAATTTAGTTTGAACAATCACAATGTTTTACAATAGCTGATTTATTGTTCAATTATCTCCTGACTAGACCAAAGACTCCTTTAGTCCTGGAACAATGTATCTTTTGATCTTTATACCTTAGTTCCTGGAGCCCATCCTAGACAGCTGTTATATATTGGTCAAATGAACAGGTAAAGGGTAAGACTCTGGAGGTTATATTACATCACTGTATTAATACTCTATCAGCAGGATGGAAAGGCATCTGGGTCAGAAAGTTATATGAGGGCCAGAAAATTGGAATTTTAAGGAAAAAAAGAAGGCTATTGTCATCTATTTTTTTTTTTAACAGTACTGTAAAATTACACAAGGCAGTCCTAGGTTTGCTTCTAAGCTAGTGTGCACATTAGAGAAATACATATTCCCAGTCCCTGCTCCAGGCCACCAAATTTGTGTTTTATAAGCTCCATCGATGGCTCTTATGCAGCCATCAGCCTGCCCAGCTCCAAGTCACTGACCAGCACAAGGAGCCACTTCCCCACACACAGTTCTGCATGCCTATGAAGGCAACAGGGCATCTCCAATAGGAGCTTCAGAAATAACACTCTTGGTAACTGTAAGAGTTCCCTCTCATAGCTCAGTGCTTTTCTGATTTTTCTTATCTTCCCAGCAAAGAGCTGAACTAAACCGGTTTATGGAAATGGGCCAGTTTCTGTCTGCACTGAGACCAGTTATGAAATATGACCAGCCTAAGGACATTCAGCTCTGTACCACTGGTATGAACTATCACTTTTGTCAACAAGCATCAGATGTCAGCGAAGGGGCAAAAGCTATCTCAGGTCCTATGTACATCAGGAGATAGACATTAAGAGCTGATCCATGTGGAATTAACACCCTTGAGATGGTGTCATTGGAAACACTTCAAATGGTAATTAAATAAACCCTTTCTGGCTCACTAATCGGGAATCTAAACAGAGCTTAAAGATGAATGAATGATAGTCCCATTGCAGGTTTCAAAGAAGGGAGTAACAACAAGACCTTTGCTCCATGTGCAGTAAGTATTAACATTCTTATTATTTGTTTTCATCATGCAAAACAGAAACATCAAATCCTAAACTCACAGAGCTCAAACAAATGCTTCCCCTAGGGGTTCCCCAGCTTGCCACCCAGGAAAAAAAACCACTTGATTAATTTTAATTCTTTCCATGCATGGGGGATCTACTAAAGATGGGAACTTAGACAAACCAGCCATCAGACCCAGAAGAGTCTGACAGGCAATTCCTGGGCTTGGCACTGAGGAATGTGAGGGTTGGGTGTGATGTAACTACTGACCACTTTCAGGCCATATAAAACCAAACCTCTTTGGATACAAAAACTGTTTCTCTATGAATTCGTGGACCAGCCTCATAGATTAACACACGCTTGTCTCGAAAACCAGTAAGTTGAACAAGCCCAACATCTGCAATTAAAAGTCACCCTTGGTGATGAATACAGCTTCATGGGGCTCCTCACTTTCTGTCCCTGGCAGCCCGCATCCATTGCCTGATGCCTGGAGGAGGTAAAGTGGTCTCGTTTGGAGCTTAGTAATCTTTCTCGTGTAATGCTGTACGTGATATTTCTAAGGCATGTGGGGGGTAATCTGGAGGGTATCTGGAACCCAAAATGAAGCTGTTCAGAGCCTGAAGTAACCAGCTGGGGACTCTGCCATATCCCTGCTTGGTGACCAAGAGCTGATTGTGTCACTCTCTTGCAGCCCAGTGGGGTGCCAGGCATACCAGCTGGCAAGCTTAAGTCCAGCTGGGTTCCCCCACTACTGGGAGAATCAGACCAACCACTTAGCTAGGTATGTGATCTTGAGTTAGGACTTAACTTCTCAGATCCTCAGTTTTTTCATTAGCCCAGAGTGGATAATAATACCTAGTCACCTCACAGGGTGGCTGCCAGGAATGAGAAAGAAAAAGTATGTGTGTGTGTGTGTGTGTGTGTGATCAATCTAGCACATAGCAAACAGTTAATAAATATTACATTTATCACATTATTTACAGTACAATATTATTTACAGTACTTTGAATTTCCTAAAGCCTTAAGAAGTATGTTGGAGAAAGATTTTCATTTCCATTTTATAAATAGGGAGATACATACAGAGAGGCGAATGACTTACTCCAAGTGACAGAGTTGATTAGTTCCAGCTGGAAGGAAATCCAAGTCTCCCACCTTTTGTCACTGCATTGACTTCTTCTAGACCACTGCACCAGGTGTATTTAAACCTTATGACAAATGGCTCTTTCTGACAGGGCTCTCTTCTCTGTTGGATGCTGAATCTGACTGTTCCACTGCTAAAACTGCTGACCAGTTCTCTGCGGTAGGTAACTTTAGGAACCCAATCACTTTTAAGGTACTACTTATAAAATCAGTGCATTAAACCTGCCTTTTATGGTCTGAATGTGTCAATACAGTTTACAAAGGGATCTAATTTACAATCCAGGGTAGCACGGGCCCTTAAAGTGTGATGAAAGTCTAACCGTTTTTTCCTTCAGTAGGGTATGACAATGATTAGGAAGATCAACTATAAAAAATTCAAAGTTTGTAAGAGAGAAGACAGAAGGAGACAGAGAGATAGAGAGGAATAAAGAAAAGAAGAAAACAAGGAAGTGAGAAAAGAGAGAAAGAGAAAGGGATGAAAAGAGGCAAGGTGGAAAGAAGGAAAGATGAGAAGGAAAAGGAAAGAAAGATAGGAAGAAAGAAAGATGGAAGGAAAGAAAGAGAAGGAGGGAGGGAAGGAGGGAGGGGAGCAGGGGAATGGACTTAACAACAAGGG